CTACACAAAAGGAAGTGATTTGTTTGCAACTGTCACTGAAATTCAGCATTTTGATGAGGAAGCTGGAGGATGAAGGAGCACAACAGTGCTGTATCAGATCTGCTGCTACCCCTACCCAAAGCAAGGCAGTTTCAGCAGCAAAGCACTCTACAATATTTTACAGAAGTGCAAAATGACACCCTGAGAAGCAGGTGTTTCAGTGCCATGCTGCACACCAACCTCCTCCTCTTGGCAGGAGAGAGGAGCTTTTCTTCCCTTTCTGATCCTCAGAGCTTTTTGGCAACTGCAAGATAAAGATTCTTACCAAAAGCAGACTCATTAACTTATCCGAGGAGGTTTTAGCCACCCCCTGTTCGTGCTGCAAAAGCAATAGGAATCTGGGTCAAGAAAAAGACAGGTTTGTAGGCATTTTCAGGGCAATGCTGTAACCCCAGAGGCTAACATGAGTGCAAGAAGACCTCACCCTTGGTGCTGGGTGGTGGAAAGGTCCCGGTCAGCTTGGCTTCTGTTCATTTTTCAAGCTTTACAGTAGCAGTAGATAAGGGGATTTGATCTTTGGGAGATCATTGCTCCCTCCAGGGCTTTAAGGTGAAGCAATGGCAGATACCCAACTCATTGATGCCTGGGGAAATGTTCACGGGGAAAAGAAGGGAACAGTAAACAAAGTTTTTGAATTGTCAAACAAGATAAAATTCCTGGCCATGTACATCTGATGGGACTGGAGACGTTTGTAACCCACAAACTGGTATTCTTACTGTAACACCTTCACAAAGATCTTACAAACTGTGTTTAGCACTATCAGTCAATAGCACCAACACGAATGCATGGAGGAGAAGGACCTGGGGGTGCTGGTCAGTAGATGGTCAGCTGAACGTGAGCCAGCATTGTACCCAGGCGGCCAAGAAGACCAAGGCTTGTATCAGAATTAGTGTAGCCACACTGCCTTATTGAGCACATCCCTGGTGCTTCTTCAGTACATTCTGTGAACTTCCCACATAGAAACTGCATTATGTGTTTTCCATAGATCATAAGGGCGGAAGGAAATACTGCAGTAAGAGAGCTTCTGTCAAGCACAGAACAAAACCAGACTGGCATTCCTATTTGATTAAAAAATACTCTCCTCTTAGTTATAAAGTTCCAGTATTCCACCACTTTCAAATTTGCTAATCTACTCTAACCACTACTTACTATTAAAAAACTATTTTTTATTTTCATTCTAAATTTGTCTAGCTTCATCTCCTGGTCAGTCTATGTATAAGCCTGCCTGTTAAAGCTTCCTGGATGATACTTCCTTTTCCCAGGATACACATTTCTAAAACTATCAAATCATTCCAATATCGATGTACTAAATTGATTAAGCACATCACTTGAGCTGCTGGACTCAAGCTCTTTGAACTCAAGCTTGTGCATCTTCTAGTATCTCTTCCAAGACCTTGAATTCTTTTCACTGACCTTTTCAACCTTTCCATCTTTTTGGTCCTGCAGTATCTGTCTGTTTGTGGGTGCTCTCATCCGTTTGCTGACCAGGACCTCTCCACCATCAAGGCTGAGGTTATCTCCTTGCACTCATGTTAGTCCCTGGGGCTACAACATTGCCCTGAAAATGCATATCCAACCAATTATGTGCCATGACCTCTACTTTGGGAGTCATTTTTCTCAGCATTCTGTCCTTTTAATATTCTTCATTCCTCCAACAGTTTTCTAATCTCATAGAATCATAGAAGCATTCAGACTAGAAGAAAGACCTCTAAGACCACCGAGTCCAACCCCAGCCCACCCCCCCATCCACCATGCCCACGTCCCTCAGTGCCACATCCCCACGGTTCTGGAACACCTCCAGGTTTGGTGACCCCACCACCTCCCTGGGCAGCTGTGCCACTGCACCACTGCTCTTTATGAGAAGAAAAGTTTCCTAATGCCCAACATGAACCTCCCCTGTGCAATTTAAGGGCATAACCTCTCATCCTACTACTAGATACCAGGGAGAAGACACCAACCCTCCCCTCACTGCCTAGCAGTGATTTTATACTTTTCCTCCTGGCCATTAAAACATGAATTAAATACACAGAGGCCAGGTCTGCAGGACCTTGTTTCAAACCAAGCACTTATTCAGGAATCTTCCTGCCCAGTTACATGAAGGACAACTAGCTCAGCACTTGGTTTTCAATTGGTTGTGTATCTGTTGATGATTGTTCTCCAAATGGTGCAGCGCTCATACTAAGTGCATTACTTCAACAGTACCACTTCACTAATCACAACTAATCTGATCAAGAAGATACAAACTGAGTCTGACCACATGAGGTTGCCAAAAGCCCATGTGTGTTGATTGGCACCAGTTAGGTTTCTATTTACTGGTCAACAAATTAGCTTCTTTACTGCTCCATTAGTTTATTTGCCATCAAAGTCATGCTGGTAAACTCAACGTGTCAGAAACTGCCCTGTGCAATTCCAATCTCTCTCCCTCCTTGGAAAAAGAAAGAACAGGCATTTTCCTCCTGCACTCTGGGAACTTTCCAATTGCTCCAAGACATCAACAACCAGCAGCAAGTTTCCAAATTAAGGAATTCTGCACCTATTTCAGTTGGGACTGAAAACACTGAAGGTGAAATTCCAGCTCCTTTTGGATTACCTCCGAAAGGGACCAACAGCACGCTGCACAACTGCTCACAGCCAAACCACAGCCTGGAAACTGCTCTGGAAACTCTCATCAGCACCGACCAGTTTTATTATTTTAAGGCAGCAACAGGACAATTTCATTCTGTTCTGTATTACCTATACTACCAATGTAGGCCCATTTCTCTGTCCCTTCAGCAATCCTTTTTTTCAAGTCCCTCTCCCATACTGCACAACTCACAGTTTGCATTCCTTCTACCAATCTTTTCTTGTTCCCTGGAGCAGTGCAGCTTTCTTCTCGCCACCCTTCCAAAGCTTTCCTGCAGGGTGACACCTGGCCAAGTGCTCTTAGACAGCTCCTAGTTATTAATATCTTTATGTTCGCGTTATTTACTCGGCTGACATCGATTCCAGCTTTGTGAGACAGACTGCTAAGTGCTGTTAGATGCTGGTGTGCACCTCATTTACATGCAAGAACTGTAATCAGGTCATGATCACTTGCACCTAAATAATGACTCATTGTAGCCCTGAGCAATTTCTCTTTGTAAGCTGAATGCTAGCAAAGAATTCACCCTGGATATGTCCCTTTTCATGCTTAAAAACTCTTTCCTCTATTTTTATTTTCTATTCCTTTTAAGAAATTCCCACGGCATCACTCATACAGAAAACCCAAAAACCAGAACCACCACTGTAATCACTTTCATGCACTGCACTTATGGAACTGCATATTCTTTTATTTCCTTTAGAAGCACTATATGTTGCACACTCCGAACTGCGAATGCTGGTGAGCTCCAGCCAGGCAGCAGCACGGACAATCTTAAGAGAAAAATGTGAACAGATTCAGGATGATTCACCACTCAAGAAAATTTATCCCCACAGAATCCTTTTCTATGAGTCTGAGCAGGACCTCACAACAGAAAATCCACATTTAAAGCTTAATGACAAACTGCACAGCATCCAAACCACAACACAGAGGTAGGCAGTCTAATTCTGGGGACAACAAGCAGCCTTGTCCTTGTACATCCAATATGCCTTTCATTAAGGAGAGCTCGGAACTGAACAGTAGCATGACAGACTTTTTCTTTTTCTCTTTTTATTTATGAGTTGAATTACACAGTGAACATTAGAATGATGATATTCCATTGCATCACATCCAACTCCACTCAGTGCATAGGACTGGAGAAAGTACAACTGTTGGGAAATATTCCGTGATAAAAAGAGAATCACATGGCTAATTAAAGATTGGTAAAGATCAAAACTATGTTTTTAAGGAGTTTAGCACTGTAACTACTTTTTCAGATCAAGTTATGGATCTTCCATGCTTGATATAAAAGAAAATCACACCACGCTAATTCTCACTGCTCCACCTTCCTGGTACCTCGACGAGCCACCCTCCAGCTTTCTCTTACTGAAAGGAGTGCATAAACAGCCCATAAAAATCATCCAGCACCAGGAAAGGTCACAGCAGCACAAGCTCATGTTGAACTGTCAGCAGTTCTAAGACATTCAGATTTGAGTCATTTGGTTTTCCAGCTGGATATTGTGACAACAGACAGCAGTTCAAGAAGAACCTAATATTTATGACAACACCCAAAGAAAAACAGATGAGCATCAACTCTGCTTACTCTCAGAACTGCAAATTGCGGAATACTCCTGAACACAGGAATCCTCCATTTTATAGAAATTATATCTCTTTGCTCCTCTTTCCTCCCTCTTCTCTGTACCACGTGCTTAAATTTATCCATGTGAGAAGACTGCAACTTTTCCCAAAGTCCTACAGGTATTAAAATCATAGAATCATAGAATCACAGAACGGCCTGGGTTGCAAAGGCCCACAAAGCTCATCCAGTTCCAACCCCCTGCTGTGTGCAGGTCACCAACCAGCAGCCCAGGCTGCCCAGAGCCACATCCAGCCTGGCCTTGAATGCCTGCAGGGATGAGGCATCCACAGCCTCCTTGGGCAACCTGTGCCAGTGCCTCACCACCCTCTGGGGGAAAAACTTCCTCCTAAGATCCAACCTAACCCTCCCCTGTCTCAGTTTAAAACCATTCCCCCTTGTCCTATCACCATCCACCCTTGTAAAGAGATGTTAAAATAGATTTATTTGGGTGCTCAGTTTATTAAAAATAGAACGTGCCAGAATTTGAGGATTTTCTGAACTTTTACTCTCCCTGGCAAATCAGGGAGGCAGACTGACTTGAGGTGGGTTCAAACTAACACCAGTACAGTGGTATTCTACCAAAATCACTCCATCAGTTTGACTTTATAATTCCAACCCAAGGCCTCTTTCCAAAGCCCCACACAACCACACAGCCTTAGATTCATATCGTTGATTATTCTATATTGCTGATTAAGTGGAAGCCCGATTACAACAACAGATACTCACACTATATGTGCAAGATCAAGTGGCTTTTCTGGCTGCTCAGGAAACACGGGACGAGGTGGTTCTCTGCTTGGTACACAGCCAAGTGATTTACTGATTGCATGGCTCAGCTTCTTCGCAGGCGATTTCTGGTTTGGAAAAGAGTGACCAAAATGAGACCACTGTTACAAAGAGGAGGGAAATGCGTGCAATCAGATAACAGAGAAACATGAAAAAGAGAGTTTTCAGAAACATTCATTTCTGCTACACCACACCGAGGAATTGTAGAATCATACGATCGTTGAGTTGGAAGGAATCTCTAAAGGTCATCTATGAGTATAGAAACTGCACAGATGAGCAAGTTGGGTTTTGTTGGCTTTTTTTTAGGGGGACTGGTGGTTTGGTAGTTGCTTTTTTTTTTTTTTCTTTTTAGTGTTACAATACTGAAAAATGAAAGTAGTTTAACAAAAATATGTAACTTCAAGAAATACAATGCTTGGTGTTTGTGTCAGAGCGGAGAACCAGTGCAGGGATTTCCCACCTGCTCTGACAAGGACCTTCTGGACACAGGTGTTGTATTCTGGGGAAGGGCAAGGGAAGAAATAAAGACCTGATGCAGGAGGAGGTCCATCACCTATCTTAAAATGCTGTTCACTCCACTGAGCTCAAGTGTATGATTTGGAGGCCAAAAAATTCTTTTTTCAGAAGTAACCCACCAAGTGCTGTGTTTCTGATCAAACTCCCCACACAGATGCTGCAACCCTGTGGCTGATTGCTAGTCCCTCTCAGTTCCTATCTCTGTAAGATGCTCCAGTGGGAAATTTGGTTCAATTCTGAATGCACTTTTAATCATAGAGTCAATAAAACTGGAAAAGACATGTAAGATCAAGAACAACTGTTAACCCAGCCCACCATGCCCACGTTCCTCAGTGCCACATCCCCACGGCTCTGGAACACCCCCAGGGATGGTGACCCTGGGCAGCTGTGCCACTGCAGCACTGCTCTTTCAAAGCAGAAATTGTTCCTAATATCCAACCTGAAATCACAATTCAACTTCACACTGATTTAAAGAGAAGGCAAGGCCACCCAGTGCCGGGGTACACACACACAGTTAACATGAATGAGTACCTGGCAATTAATGACAATTACAATGGATTACACAGTTAATAATTACCAACCAGTGAGCTTCTTCATTTCTGGGCCTCTTGGCTTTAGCAAAATACAACAAGCAATGAAGGTTTTTAGAGCAGGGAATGTGCGTGTGAGAATGTTGTTCCCTCTGAGTTTAGGTGGTTTGTAGCAGATTGCAACACATTTTAAGTAAAACACTCAACTAAATTGGAAAATAACAAGATAAAAATTCCTTTCAAATTAGAAAAGAAATACGAGTTGGGTGCCCCTAAGAATACATTCGGACTTCTGGTTCTTAACTGAAGTTTTATTACCTTCTCCCATTCTCTTACAATTCAAGTCGGAGCGAAGTGAGAACTGTGAGAGGCACAACTGGAGGCTGCCTGTTGGAACTCATGATGAATGTTGGTTTGGAAACAAAACCACAGAAACGTAGAATCACTAAGGTTGAAAGAGACCTCCAAGATCAACAAGGCCAACCATCACCACCACACCCACTGAAATTTCTTATGGCAATTTCTTCCTGTTAGTACAGGAGGATTCCTCTGGTGGACAAAGCGGCTTTGGAGGCAGCTGAGAAGGGCCACCTGCCTCTTCAATGTGCAGCTCTGGGCTCTGCAGACAGATCTGAGCCCCATCCAAGCACTAATGCAAAACTCCTTGGCTGGATGTACAGATTCTTATGGCTGAAGTGCACAGCGCTCTCGCCACAGAAGGTTCTACAGAGGAGCAGCTGCCTTTAATTATTTTGAAAACTAATGAAAAATCACAATTCATGCTTTATGTTATTTCCTACCAAACCCACAGTCAAATTCAAATGATCATCTTTCATTTTGCTATCACATGCAACAATAGTAAAAAATTCTGGGTTTCCTGAATTCACCCTACATGTTGAAAATTCCCACATACACTTATCTCTAGATGTTCTCTGCTTCTAGTCTTGGTGCATTTCTTTCCTTACCCTTTATCGTGTTCATCTTCTGGTTTCTGCACAGACCATCTATCTCACAGTGCCTTTTCTGTGACCTCTCTGCAGCACTTTAGCCTATTTTAAAAGTGTTTTTCCACTGTGGTAACAGACATTACATCCTGTCGTGCTACACCACCATTTATATTGTCGAGCAAAGGCGGTGCTGCCTAGAATGCAGAAATAGAGCAACTTCACTTTGTGAAAATGATAGAGGAGAGATAATTTCCATCGATTCCAACTTTTGAATGATGATTCTCAGTGTGGCTGAGAGTGAAAAAGGCAGAGCGTGCTGAAGAAGCACTTCACTGGCAAGTGCACCTGGTAGGGATAGCTGGTTTCTCTGAGAAACAGCATTTAATTTTGTTTCCCAATGAGCTGAGTTCTACTTTTCTGTCTCTTTGACATCTTCATTAAGCATCTTTGAATCACAGAATCATTAAGGTTGAAGAAGACCTCAAAGGTCCCCAAGTCCAACCCCAGCCCACCCCACCTTGCCCCCTGTGGGCACCATCCCCCCTCAGTGCCACATCCCCACGGTTCTGGAACACCTCCAGGGTTGGTGACCCTGCCACCTCCCAGGGCAGCTGTGCCAATGGATCACCACGTCCCTTTCAGGGAACAAGTTCTTCCTAATATCCAGCCTTGCACTCCCCACCTCCTAGAAAAGCAAACAGAAGCCCTGCAGTCCCACGATCCTCTCCTCTACCACTGACACCACCACAAACTCCCCCAGTAACACTGTCCATTTGCCCATCTCTAGCACCACCAAAGTTTCACCATCGTCTTCCCCAGCTGTTCCTTCTTGACTTCAATCTATATTTGTAAATAGCTGGGAGCAAACTATGTTTCATGAACTGTTTGCAACTTCCCATCACACTGGGATCTCAGTCATGTCCAACTGGGTAGTTGGACACGCCACTGTGGTATCCCAGCCTCCAGGTTTCACACATCCTACAGTCCAATTTATGCTCTTCAGGTTTAAATGGAAACACAGTCTGTGTGCCTTTAGTTTCAAATACTTTCAGCCATCACCCATTTCCTAGGGGCCCGAGGCAATTCCTCTACACTCAGTGCAGCCCCAAGCAAGCCAAAAGGTTGGATATCTATGGTTTAAGGAACCAAGGAGGCTTTTCAATAGCTACATTTCAGCGTCTGATTGCTGAACATCTCAGAGGTCCCCTTCTTCTCAGAATGGTTACTTAAGATGTACAGTTCTGGGTTTCCTGCCCTCTGAACACCTCTGAAGTTCCCCATCTGAAGTGGACAACTGAATTACGGATAAACCAACTATCAGCTCCAGAACTGTTTCTCTAACACCACTTACAACACTACGTTTTAGATTATTTGAACATTTTTTTTTCAGTTCAAGGACTGAGCAGAGCAGGTAAATAGTATCAAACCCTGCTTTCTGCAGGCGCAGCACTCACATGGCTGGCCTCAGGCTTTGTGCAGCTCTGGCAGGAAGCAGCAAAACCATACTCTTCAGTGTCATAGGCCTGAAGGTGGAGATTCTGAAGGGAGGTTTTTTCTTCTCCCCTGTTGGGCTCACAAGCCCTGCACTGTGCTGTGCCCTCAGTTAGTACTGTTCCCCTCAGCCCCTGAGGACAGAATGCAACAAGCTCCAGATGTTGTATTCCTTTAAGGCAGTCTAAGTGGAAAATTAAACGAACTAGAAATATAGGAGAAGCAATTTTGCAAACAAAATCTTATTAACAACTACTTACAATATTGCTAAACCATAACCTTGTAGATAACAGGGTCTGCTTGTTATTCTCCATTTGATTAGTGCTCACTGCAATGGCTTCCCAATGGAAGTCAAGATTTTATCCCTATTGACACAGAACATTTGCTGGGCTTATTGATAAGTCTTCCAAAGCCACTCATTGAAGGGTGCTTACAACTAACAAAGCACTATTATCTATAGAAGATCAAGGAGCGGATCCTCCTGGAAGAGATGTTAAGCACACATGAGATGAAGAGGTGATCAGAGACAGGCAGCACAGGACTTGGGGGTCCTGGTGGGTGAAAAACTGGATATGAGCCAACAGTGTGCAGTTGCAGCCTGGAATGCCAACAGCAGCCTGGGCTGCATCCACAGAGGGGTGGGAGTGGGGCAGGGAGGGGACTGTGCTCCCCTACTCTGCCCTTATGAAGCCCCACCTGCACTACCGTGTCCAAGCCTGTGGCCCCCAGCATAGACAGATAAATGGATGAGTAGATAGAAAATAATGGAAGATACTGCTCCTCTTCTAAAAGATCCCCCTTCCATACTCATTTTACAGGGGGCTACTAAGTCTGTGGTGGTATTTTATGCATCACTGGACTTTTTAGTATATTCAGAATGCTTTGTTGCTTAAGAACCAACCAGTCAAAAAAGAAAAAAAGCCACAGTAAATCATTGGAAAGGTTCAGAAATACGTTTCTACAGACAGAACAAGAAATACTGTTTTAGATTACAGGAACGTAAATGCTTGTTATGATTGCCTTACTGTTCACTGAAATCCCCTGAATTTCCCCACTTTGTCCTTGATTTCTACCTTCTTTGTTTTACCTGTAAGTAATCTTTAGCCTCTTGATTGAAACTTGCTTTGATTTGGATTCTGACTGTACCGAACTCATCCTACCTTTTATTCCTTTAGCTCATGTCCCCCCATACCTTTATATTTGTTCTACCTAATCCTCCTACAAACACAGCATATGTACACAAGAACGTCTTTTAAAAATGTTTCTTCCATTTCAGCTGCTGCTGCAGTTTCTTACTAAGACAAGCTAACTCTTGTTTCTGAACAATAAAACAACATTTTCTGCTGCTAAAATTCCTTTCCTTCTACAGATTTCTGAGCAAATTGCCTTTAAGTATCGAAGTCTTTTTAGATGATAGCTTAACTGCTGCCTGGTACTAAGCCCCAGCTTTCTATATTAAACAGTCATACCATAATGATACTTTCTCATGGAGATAATTGCTAATTATAATCCAATCATCATCTGATCTCTTTGAAAAAGTAAAAAATTAAGACTTAAGTTTTTGGCCAGAAAAGCAGTTTTTCTATCTATAATTGTCTATTATTACGCTAGGTGTGATTACCATATAGTCCTTTTCTTTTAAAGAAATACTGTGTTTAAAGATGCCACTTGGATACAGGTCCTTCCTGAGACTGGTTTACCTTTCTGAGGAGGAAAAGAATTGTAAACTCTAAGACTTGTTAAGCTAGAATAGAAGGAAAGTAATAATAGTAATAATAATATATGTAAGAAGTAGAACTGTGGTGAAGAGGGGAAGAAAACAATGTGTTAGGGATTTGAAAAGGGCTGCATTGTGTGCTTTAAACACTGGTGAATAGAATGATATTCAATTGATAAAAGAATAACATTATTTATAACAAAAATAATGCGATTTGCCTATTTGCACACTTGGACTATTTGAAAACCTTTAACAGTCCTACTGTGCAGTTCTGTTACAAAAACAACTTCAGCGTTCAGAATAAATCAGTACAGAAGAGGCTGTGTCTACAGGACAAAGAAAGGCAAGTTACCCAAGACGAATGCTCCTTCATCTGGTGCTGGTTGCTGTGAGGCCCGCTGGCATGGCCACGCCAAAAGCAGTTTTGGCAGAGCTGGTAGTTGTGGCACTGTTGGCACCGGTACCGGAAGCCCATCATGCTCTCACAGCGGCAATAGGAACACTCCACAGGATGGAAGACTTGGCGAAGATGCGGAGGGAAACAGAAAAAATGAAAATAAGCAAACCTTAAGAAAACTGCATTTAATTGCATCATTGCATTTCGTGAAAGCTTCCAAGAAAAACCAAACAAACCACAACCCAGGTTCTCAATCACTGAAAGAAATTATTACTGCATCCACGCCATGGCTTCTGAGCCCAGAAGAGATTATTTTGGAAGAATAACAACATATCTGAGTTGATAACATAACATCCAACAAGTTCAATATTTCTTCTCTAGCTTTTTCCCCCTTTGGATTTCCTCAGAACCAGAAAGCTCAATGTAAATCCAACAACAGAGAGAACATGACCTGCTGTAGGGAACCTGCTTTGGCAGGGGGGTTGGACTCGATGATCTCTGAGGTCCCTTCCAACCCCTACAATTCTGTGATTCTGTGATTCATACAATCATAGAATCATTAAAGCTGGAAAAGACAAAGGTCATCAAGTCCAACCCCAACCCATTCCCACCATGTCCCCAGATAGAATGATAGAATCATGAATATTGAAAAAGACCCCTAAAAAAGGTTCACAAAGGTTGACTTCTGCCTAAGGGACCTGAGTCAGCCAAGAGCTTCTCACTCAAATTCAGAGCAGTGTATTCTGCTCTAAAGCCTCTTGCTAGATGACACTTCCCATAGACCAGGGGTTTGCCCAGCTGGACAGTGCAGAAATGCTACCCAAATTGAGGATGGGTTTGCCCAAGTTGTTGAAAACATCAAGGTAATAACTACAGGGAAGAGCACTTGAGCATTAACCTGGACAGCAATATCACAAGCCAAGAATCAGGTGGATGATGCTCTTACTGCTACACAGAAACACCACGTAAAGAAAATGATGTGTACAAGACAGTCAGCTTCAGTGATACGAATGCCCAGTGGAAATGGAAGCTCCTGTAGAGGAACTGCTACCTTTTGAATATCTTCATTCAAAAGGCAGAGAAAGCAATGAAAAGCAAGTTCTACATTTATTTCAATTATGAGAAAAGAACTGGTTGGAAAAAAATAAAAAAAGATGACAAGCAAGTTAACACAGCAACAATAACTTTCTACATCTTAGGCAGTGGAGAACATGATCTCAGTGACTTCAGTAAATTCATATGAGAGTCAGTAAGCATACTACAAGAAGACACAACAGGAAAAGTGAGTTCAGAGAACTGTCAGTTCCTTAAAGAAACAATGCTAAAGAAACAAGTATAAATATCTCTGGGCAGAGGAAGGAGCAGACTGTTGTAAAAAAAGCAACTTGACTAAAATGATGAGCTCAGTAACTTCAAATTCAAAAAGAAGCCTATAGAAGTAAAAACAGGAACAAATCATCAATGACAGCTGAAGGAATAATGTCGTATCCCAAGGCAAAGACAGACATGAAAGAATGAGAGAAAATTAGCAAGCGATTTAAAAGAGGTATCACAAAATTTGTGATTAGTTCTGATCCTTATGAAAAGATGAAATTATACATATGTAACCACGGCCTTCCCATGTTATTTTAACTGGTAGAGTACTTGAACAAATACTAAAGGAATTTAAGCACCTGAAGAACGTGAGCCATGAACATTCCCCAACTCAACTTTGTGTCTTTCCATGCCAGGCTAATTGCCCTTGAAACCAGAACGAGGGCATTAAATGTCACCAATTTCCCATGTTACTTCAGTAATTCTTCCAAAACTGGCAGGCCGTGCTATTTGCCTAACAGAGGGAAATACCCAGTAGATGAAAGGACTGTAACTGTGATGTGAATTTCATCGGGAAAAGACCAGAAAATTATCAAAACAAAACGATCAAACAAGCAGGGCTCCAAAAGGCTTCATTCCAGGTCAAGTATTGCTCACTGTTTTCATAAAAATATTGAAAAACTGACAAAATGCCCAACTTGGGGCATCACGTTTCAACAAACAAGATCTAGGAGACAGCTTAGCTAAGAGGTGACTGTGAGAAGGCACCAAACACGCAAGAGGTACTTACAAAAATACCAATGCATTCTGCAGAGCCAGCGGCCAAAACCCAGGGACCCGAGGATTTAAACTGCAGTAAGAAAAATCCATGCTAGAATACTAGGAAAAACTTTCTCACCCTAAGAATATTTAACACTGATCTCAGCCCAGCTTCTCATCCACACCGATCCTGAAACCTTTGGTCTGAACATTTTATGCAGCAGCAGGGCAGATCTCTTGAGAACTTTGAATGTATGTAAAGTTTGCCTTTGGAAAGGGAAATAGGTGATGTCATGGGCTCCCACAGCTTTTTGGTATCCACCTCCAAGAACCCTTCATCCATGGAGAGTTTCTGTCTCCTGCTGGGACCAGACATGGGGCCACTGCATCAACATGGAGCTCTGAACCAAAGAATCAGAAACTTGAAGCTGATGCACTTGACTTAAGGAATGCAGTAGCAGCATTCTGATGAAATAAACACCAGACAAAATTACAGTGGGTAATTTTCAGGGTTCTGAGCATACTGCATACATGATGAGGAAAAAGACTGAAACAGTCATTGTCAGAGATCGTGAGGTCTTCCTTACCTGGTTACCGCCAAGTGCTACAGCACAATCAGATGCAGATGCTTTTTTTCCAACTTTTGGGAATATGTCAATGTGCCAATAAAATATGGTGTTGAAGACTTTAGTTCTGTCCTGTTCAGACTGCCTTCCATGTTTCTGTCCACACGAATCCGTTCCAGGCTGAGGCTGCCACGAAGAGGTGCACTGATGATGTTTCTAACACCACTGACACTCCTGACTCCACATCGTGTTTGAACCACAAGGACTTCATCCCATCCCATTCTTCCTCTCCATTCTGCCTCTGAAACATTCACTGGTGTCACTGCTTATGCTTTATTTTCCCTGCCTCAGTGATCTGAACAAGTTCTTGCTATTGATACTTCCTCTCAGGAGGTGTCCCTTTACTCAAAGTTTCCAGTCACGTATGGGAGGGGGAGTTTTAAGCTTCTTACTACTTTTCACTGCTTCCAAGACTTCAGTCGTTCCCTTTCCTGGTTGTCAGTGCTCCAAATTCAAGATTCCTCCTGGGTCCTTTTTGACAGACAACCCGCTCCTTCCTTCCTCCACTGGACCTGATGATCTCAGATGTCTTTTCCAACCTAAAGGATACTGTGATTCTTGCCAGCAGACCTTTTGAGACATCACAAAACTCACCTCACCTACTCCCAGCTGTGTCCTCTTCTTCCAACCCTGCCAGCCTCCAAAATTCTTCTCCTCTAATTAATTCTCAGCAGCAGACTATTTTGGCCATCAGTGTACGAAACTGCCATGAGCAATCATCCAGTAAGTATTCAAATCTCTCTTTTCATTCCATTTCTTCTCTGATCTGGACATATTAAATTCTTCCAAGTGAAAATGAGATGCGACCGTTCTCCTCCTCCTTTTCTTTCCTCCTCTGTCTCAAAGACATCTCTCATTTGCTCTCTTCTACAAAACTGCAATTTATTCAAAGATCTTGTGCCATCTTGTGATTTACCTGAGACGCCTCTATTTTTTCAGTGGCCTGCTTTTCTGACTCTCCAGTATATCAAAATATATGTAAGAGTGGTGCTGCAGTGGCACAGCTGCCCAGGGAGGTGGTGGGGAAACCAAACCTGCAGGTGTTCCAGAACCGTGGGGATGTGGCACTGAGGATCACGGTCAGTGGACGTGGTGGGATGGGTTGGGCTTGGTTATTTTGGAAGCCTTTTCCAACCACAATGGTTGGAATATATTGGATTAGGTTTTCAGATTATAAAGACACGCTAATTTGTCCATATTTTCTTCTCTAACTCCTGGAGAACAGGACATAAATCCCTCTGCCTCATTACCAAGAAGCCATTCCTGACAAAATCCCTCATTACTGTTTCCCACCCAAATGGGAAATGTTATTCCATCATCAGTCTTTGAGCTGCAACCCCCAAATCCCTGCCTTGAAATCTCCATTAGCTGCCCTCCTTTGTGCATCCACCTTTTATCTTACGCTTTCACTGCTAATGCCAAAACCACTGCTCTGTCTGAACAATATATTTCCCACTAGGACATATGATAAAGGCTTCCAAAATACAGTAGTAATATACATGTTAGATTACTTAAAAAGAAATAATGAGGAAAAGTTTTAGAGTAATTGTGGATCTGCATTTCAGATATATTATTTCAAATTACTGTAAATGTAAAGATACATCAGACAGGTAAGATATATGCAGACTGGAGACTGGTCTGGAACTGAGAAGCATAGCAAAGTTGTCTACATAGAGATGACAGAGTATTTCCATGGGAAGGATACCAAGAACAAAACACAGACAGAAATAAGTAGGAGAGAAGAACAGAGCCTTTATAAAAGTGCGTAGGAGTAATCGACAAAGATGTGAAAAAAACTAGCAGCTAAAGGAAAACGAAAATATGAGAACTTTAAAATACAAGAAAAGAAATCAAAGAGGAGATAATGAAAGTAGAAAGGATGCAGATGAAGTAATATTTTTGTGTAAGAGTGTTGCAGGGAAGACCTGGAAAAACGCACTGTTCAAAAACTCTGGCTAAGACAGAATTAGTGTTGGAAGAGAAATGCTTTGAAGAACTTGCCATGACTATAAATACAAACCTTTATTTAAACATCTGTCTTTATACTACTCTTTTTCATCTGGTACTAATAGCTACATCTGTAAGCTGACATACTGCTACATGACTGTGCTTTGTCCTAGTGGACCCAGGCCAGCAATACTGATGTGCACATCCAGAACATCTAAATTCTAGTACTCCAAAGCAAAAGACTTACCAATGATGATGTTAGCTATGAGATAAAAATGTAATCATCTGCTTAATTAACCACAAAAATCCTAGTGCTCTGAGCTCATGCAAAAGTAGCCCAAAAAGCATGACCAGCATATAACACATATGTCAAGCTCCAGGTTCCAACTCCAGTGTTTTATTTTTCCATGGAAACTATTCTGATGAGTGGAAAGAGAAGACTTGAAGTCTTCCAGCAGATTAACATCCTCAGCTCAGCCCAATGGAGAGAGGTCTGCTCAAGCAGCAGTTCAACAGGAACCCAAATGTTTCTGTCGATTAAACAAGGAACTTGACCTCCTGACTCAATTAAGTTGTGAATACACCCAAATTGGTTCTGCACTCCTCTGCTGGAACTCAGTTTTCCTGTAGAAAGAGCTACTAAGTATTAAAAACATAATTTCTGGCAATTATAATGAAGAATTCCCATGCTGTATTAGATATATCAAATCAAAACAGAATCAAAGCATCAAAACAGAATGCAAATCACCTTCCAAGGTAAGTTCTGACAAGTTACCAGGCATGCACAGACGTATCCTGAGTAGTATGGATGGAAAAGGAGGAAAGACTTGTAAAGAGAAGACAAGGCACTGGCAAAATCTAGGGGCAGGAGAGGGCGTTGGTTGGTTGGGGTTCATTTGGTTGGTTTGTCTTCTTCCTCTCCTGAGTTTTATAAAACTCTACCAAAAACTAGCTGGGAAAAACCTGCGAAATTAAAGTCTGAGTGTGAGCTATGAGAGGAATGATAAAAGTTCTCAAGCTTTGCCAAACCTTTTAATAAAGCCTTCCCTTTGGATCTGCTTTCCACCTGACCCTGCAGATCAGATGGGCTCCTTGCACGGGATCAGCAGCTTCAGATGGACTGCGTCAGTCTGGCACGACAGGCCAAGCAGCAGGCTGTGAAGGATGGCCTTTTGCAGAAATCTGCATTGCACAGGAAAGCTTGGGGACCAGCAGGAGGAAAGACTGAAAAGTATTACAGAATTTTTATCCAGGAAAGAAGCGATGGGTTTAAAACCTCCTGGAATATCACTTCTTTTTGAAATGTGCTTCTGCATGTTCATCATCGGTACGTGTTAAGTGACATTATGCCTCTCAGAGGAGGATCAGACCAAAATGAAAGCCACTGGAACTCCTTTGCCACCATTAGGATATTTCTGAGGGGTTTTGTGGGACATCTGTGAGCTTATGGAAAGCTTTCTTAATGGAAATGAGAATTCCATTTCTCATTGGAATGATGGGGAAGCACAGGGGCCTGGGGAAGCACAGAGGCACGTCTGGCATATTTTCCCAGGAAATCACCTTCTTCCTTGCAAAATATGTGGAGAAAAAAAAAAGAAAGAAAAAAAAAAAGGATAAAAATGGCATAAGCACTGCAATTTCCTGGATTTTCTAGTTTTTTATTGTTTTTATCTCTTTATTTCCAAAGGAAAGCTGAAAACGGATTCCACTGTCAGTTTCTATCCTTTCTTGTTTGGAATAGATTTACTACAGGCAAGGCTGCTCAGCAGTTGCTAAACATGAATTGGGTCATTTCAGAAAAAGCAAGTAGCAATTCTCAATCCCTTTCAGAAATCACTGCAGTGGTTCTGAGCTTCTGGGAAAGCTAAAGATTGATTTGCCACACAAGGCAGTCAAAACCAACCAAAGAATGACCTGACACTATGAAAAAATGCAATGGATTGTTCTTTAACTGGGAACTCCTAAACACAAACTGCACTGTCCCTACCCATTCATACATTTGCTTTTCTGAACCATTGTACTTTCCTACCCTCGAGAGCAAACGAGCTGGCAAAGTATTTCTACCAACGACAATGAGTGCTTAAGACAGCACAAAGGCCAAATTGGATATTGAGGAGTTGGATATTCTTTTCAATATTTTCCTTTTGACAGAGCAAAGAGAACACAGCCTGAAGACCCCTTCCATTTGCATTTCTCCAGGAACAAAACTAAAAGGACTGGAATGCCGACACAAAAGCAATGCTGCATGACGGCAGTCAAACCGAACCGATGGCTCTTCAAATAAGGTGCTGGCCCATTTGTCCAGAGCAGTACTACCAACCAGAGACATTTGTCTGATGTGTTGAGAAAGAAGACAAGATTTAAAGGTAAGGAAAAAACTTGTTTCTCCAATAGAACAAAGTTAGTTCACAGCCTAATTGCCTTTTGCTGGAATGAGAGCTGAAAAGACAGCCATAGAAATAGGAGGATTTTTTCTTCAGGTTGTCAGCTGAGGTGTTCAGATGCCTCTGCAGTAACTTTTCAATGATTGCCACAGTAATTAATGAAAACGTTGACAAACTGTGAAGGAGACAAGCATCTGCGTGGAAGGAAAGATGAGGTAACAGAAGCACTGACAAGGCACAATCCAGAGAAAACTGGCAAGAAACAACAGGCTGCAGAACAAGACTAGCACTGATCAGGTAACTTCAGGTGACACGACCAAGACGGCAGCAGGAAAGAGACAAAATTAAGGATGAAGCTTTAAGGACTGAGACCATTCTATCAGGAAAATATCATTTAACGTCTGGAGCCGAAAGATGAGAAGGCTACTTCCTAAATGAACAACTTCAGGGAATGATTCAATGGAATTTCCATTGTAAACACATACAGAACCACAGAATCATGGAGCAGCTGAGACTGGATGGAACTTGAGGACATCTGCTCAAGTCGGGCCAGCTGGAGCTTGCTGCTGCATCACGGCCAGTTTCAGTTTTGAGTGTCTCCAAGGATGGAGACTCCACAGCCTGGACAACCTCCAACCTGATGGCAAGGGGCACTGATCACCTCTCCCAACCCAACGACAGAAGACACTGACCACCTCCTCCAACCTGATGGCACAGGGCATTGTTCAGGACACCGCTGTTTCGGCTATCTAATAATTTCTTCTTGGTACTTTCAAGAAGAAAGCTCAGACTACTGGATTACCTCCAGGTCTTTCCACCATTTCCCTTGTAATTGGACCAGATGGTCTGTGAAAGTCCCTTCCAACTGAACTATTCCATTATGTTTCAACATTTACCCTTGCCTGAGCTCTGTAAAATTCTACCTTGACCTATAATGCATATTAACTTTTTACAGCTTGTTCCCTTACTGTATTTATTCCAGCCTGAGTGCTTTACTTGAAGTAAAAGCTTATAAAGATAAGAGGATAAAGGAAAAAGAGCAAACAGTAGCTGCTGCCATTTCAACCTGCTACATAAGGGTGGAAAAGAGATTGGCAGTGCCAGAGTCTCCCTAACACTTCAACTAAATCAACCTCAGCTCTTTCAGAAGTTTTCCCTTTCAGATCTGTTTCCATGACATTACTCCCCCCGAAAAGTCTTTGATAAATCACTTTTTTTCTTTTCAATTGTACACACAATTGTCAGAAAACGTTTGTAAACATACAGAGCAATTGGGAAATTAACTATCTCTTCTGCTGCAATAAACAAGAAAAAGCCCATTGAGCATTGCAGCTCTGCTCTTATTCAGTGCTGTACAAATGCAGATTATAAACACAACCAGATATGCTTTGCAAGAGGCTCAAGAAAATACAATAAAACAAACACCACAAAAGAGCGTATCAAAGTCACAGCAATACTGAACCACTTCATAGACATCAGGAAGCAGAGAACGGAATAAATCCTGAACACTTTGCTAGAGACACACAGACTGCTGGAGTTTTAAAGCTTTGCCTGGGCAAGGACAAGAGGGACTTCATCCATGTCCTAAAAGGAAGAAATCTACACCCTGAGATGCTTATAAACACACTAAGCTGAAGAAGAGGTAACACCTGGTAGGGCAGAGATGTTGAAGAACGATAAGAGGATTTTACTGTGTGGTGAAGGAAACAGAAGATGACATTCAGTTTTTCCATCTCTTATTGCTCCTTAAACAGATTCTGTTAGCGGTAATAACAGGAATTTTAGAAGAGGTCTGGAAGTGAGAGGAACTCAGCATTCGTAGTGAGTGAATGAAGTGACCAGATGGAGTTGCACTCGATGATCCTCATGGGTCAGGACATTCTGTGGTTCTATGACTCGTGCTCAAACGCTGCTCAAGACATTTAAACTGTACCAACATCTCTGGAAGTTCGCGCTTGAAAGCATATGTTGAGGCACCATTCAAGTGAAGATTTACTTTAAAAGCTTCAGAATAAATGTGAGCATTGAGAAAATGCCATTTTTCTCCTCTTTTTTTTTTTTTTTGTCTTTCGCTACTAACAATGCTAGAACCTTAACTTAAATACTAACAACCAATTGACATTGTTGTTGGTTCCATCAGTCATCCATTTTCCTCCTAGAAGAGCTGAACATGTGTCACTCCAACAGAATCCTAAAGCCTAAGTGCATTGGGACCTGGACAGTTACAGTGGGAACACATTCACTGAGAAAGGACAGCATATCAATGTATTTGATCAGCATACAGCCCTGCTCACGGGGTTTTGAACAAAATATCCTATTTACCATTTTCAACATGGGCAAGTCTGTGCATGAGAGGCAGCCACACAAGGCACTGAGGAGGTGGATCAGCCATCAATGTGTCTAAAAACATGTTCAGCATGATCTTTTTCTGCAAAGGAAAAAGAAACACAGCTTAAGACAATTGTCCATTTCATTTCATAATTTCAGTATCAAAAATAACTTCAGCTTTAACATTTCGCTACTATTCAGCTTCCATTTACCAATAATATAGGAAATGCTATAATGATAAAGCAGACATTTTGTTCAGGGAGATTCAATCTACACTGAGCAAACAGCACCACCACAGAGTGGGTATCAGTACAGACACAGCATCGTCACACAAAAATTAAAGATTCACAGATGATTAGAAAATCCCAAGAAATGGAGGACAAGTCAGTCTGGATTAGCTGCTGGATTATAGTTCAAGAGGGATACAACAAATGTGAGGAGATTATTTAACAGTGTAGGAAAAGGTATTTCAAGCATACAGGCAGCACTAAGAAAAGTAGACAAAAAAAAAAAGGTAATTACAACTAATATTCATACAGCATCCACACAGTAAATTACTTTAAAGAAATACAGAACAAGAGGCAAGGGGAGAACTGCACTAAGGTTTAGAAAATGTATTATCGCTGATAATGAAATTGAAATGAAATCATTAGAAGGAAGTAATGTTTTAAGAGTAGTATTTTCTAAGGTTTCAAACTCAATTGAGCAAGAGAAAATTTCTGCTGCAAATACAAACAGATGGAGACAGTTGGTAACAAAACCAGTTGAGAGTGCTGTGGATATAACATGAGAATATATTGGCTTTTGCATGCAGGCAGCTGGAAGATTAGGAATGTCTCCTAAGCAGATGACCACTTTTTCCTCACCTTACCCTGTGGCAGTGCTACCTCAAAGAGCATCCAAAGGGCAGGGCAAGCAGAGCTGGAGGAAAAACCAGGCTGGGATTCTCACAGCCCTGCTCCACCAACCTGCCTCCTCCTTCCTGTGGAAGTGAAGAAACCCAGCACCTTTCAACAAATCCACATCTCAGTGCTTCCGAGAAGCATGCTACCAGTGCTGAAGGAAGCCCTCTGATAGGAGATGTCCATCCCTGAAGGTGCTCAAGGCTGGTTTGGATGACCCTGAACCGACTTCATGGTTCGCAACCTTACCAATGGCAGGGGGTTGGAACTGGATGAGCTTTAAGGTCTCTTCCCACCCAAACCATTCTGTGATTCTATTCCATGAACTGTTCACAGCACGCAGAAAACCCAATGCCCTGTTCACACAACAAGGAACGATAGAAAAAACGAGTCACAGAATCATCCAGGTTGGAAAAGACCCCTAAGATCACCTGGTCCAGCCCCAGCCCACCGACCACATCCCTCAGTGCCACATCCCCACAGTTCTGGAACACCTCCACGGATGGTGACTCCACCACTTTCCTGGGGAACCTCAGAGCTCACAGTGTTGAATACCATCATTGCCCAATGTGCAAGCGGTGCATTAGACATCTTGTATAGGTAGAGGAGTTGCTCAATGCCAGGTTAAATGGGGCCTTGGGCAACCTGACCTGATGAGTGCTAACCAGCCCATGGCAGGTGTTGAAACCAGATGGGCTTAAGAGTCCCTTCCAACCCAAGCCATTCTGTGATTCGATGATTCCATGACTATATAGCATTACACATGTACTCCTCTAAGGGTCCTGTTCCACCTGACTCCCATCTCTCACCCTGTTTCATACATGGCAGCACATGAGACATTTTCAGGCTGTAATTCTTTGCCAGAGCTGAACAAGGGCATGCAGCACCTGGGCCATGCCAAGACAGCCATGGTGGCACTTTGGTTTTGATACATTGCTTCCAATATGGAAAACAGTAGAATCTTCATAGAATGGTTGGGGCAGAAGGGTCTTTAAAGATCACAGAACCATAGAATGGTTGGGTTGTAAAGGACTTGAAAGTCCCCCCAGCACCAACCCCTGCCATGGGATGGTTGCCACCCACCAGATCAGGCTGCCCAGGGCCTCATCCAGCCTGGCCTTGAGCAAATCAGAGATAAGACATCCAGAATGCATGTCAACGTTCTGGGTCACTGTAACCCAACTAAGCTGAAAAATAAGTTTGGGAGTTATCACAACGGCAGGAAAACACAACAGAATAGTTTAACTTGGAAGGGACCTGCTGTCCTGCATGTCCTACTGTCATGTTATTTTGGGGCTGACTCCAAATTCAAACATCACTAAGAGTGTTATCCAGGTGCCTTGAGTAAGACCTGTAGGTCTCACATTGGTACCACACAGCTGAAGGCCATATGAACTTGCAACAAGAGACTTCATTGTGGCCATAAGGGTTGTGAGGAGGAGGGAAAGCCAAACAGAGCTGAGTACCAAGGCAGTTATAATATATATATATGTTACTTCTTGTTAAAGTCAGAAACCTCCTATCTCACGGGAGCTGTGGGTTCTTCCTCCTGTGGTTGCTCCGAGTCATAAATAAATGTTTTCTGGTGACAAAGATCTCTGTGTACAATACGCACAACTCACATTAGAATCAAAATGTAACAGGACAGCTTTTCTGCTGGAAATTTTTCCCTCAAGCAAATCAAATCTTCCAGCCCTTGTTGGAGCAGTGACTTCTCTGCAGTTCACCAGAGGGCAGCAAGGGCTCAGGCTCTGGATTTTTGCACTGATACAGGTGGGAAATGCTGCAAGCACCAACTTAACAAAAGCACACAGTTTTGATGCCACTGCAAGCATTCCTGGCAATGCAGCAAGCAGCAGCCTGCTGCTCCTGAAGCTAGAGTGCAGGGAAGGAGATTCAAAAGTGGCTTTTTTGGAGCTGGGCTCAGAGCCTTACCATGAAGCAAACACAAAAGCCTCACTCACCCAGCATTTGTGATGCAACACAATCAGATCACCTGTCAGTAGGGACCCAACCCAAAGAACACAAACTGAAAGTTACCAAATTTTCACAGCACAGCCAGTCAGGAGGGTCAAACACCTCCCAGCATTTGCTACCTTGGTGTTTTCTGAAATGGGTAATACAATATCCTTATGAGAAACACAGGCGTCACAGCCAGGTGAACAGAAGCTTTAAGGAAAGTATGACATGATCTCCTATCTGTGACAGCACCCATTTGGCCTTGAATAGTAAATTATGGCTGGAAGCTCTATATGAATTTGGAAACCATTGTAAAGAATGCAGCTCTTGCTGAAGTGTCCCAATAAAATCTATTCCCTGTGGATAGCAAGACTGAATTACTCCAACTGTGACCCTGTGGGGTTTAAGTAACACAGGGCAATGCTCCTGGCCCTAAGCTCAATAATGCATGGATTTACATTATTGTAACTGTGCCCACTGTAACCACTCAGTCTCCCAAATGATTTCAGCATCCAGATAAACTGTTAACATCAGCTAGGAATCATTTTCAATAAACAGCTCCCATGTAATCACCCTGCCTGAGGAAGGTTGCAGAAGATAACATGAAGATGCACTCCAACAGCTCCATGTCTCTCCTGTACTGAGGACTCCACACCTGGATGCAGTGCTGCAGGTGAGGCCTCACAGCAGAGCAGAGGGGCAGCATCCTGTCCCTTGGGTTTGTCAGCTGCACCCCACAGCTTGGTGTCATCCATAAACTGCTGAGGATGCACAAAATCCCACTGCTGATGTCATTGATGAGGACATCAAAGAGCACCAGTCCCAGTACTGACCCCCGAGGGGCACCACTCATCACTGATCTCTATCTGGATGTGGAGCCATTGACCACCGCTCTCTGGAATGATCTCACATTCCTCATCTGTTGAACAGTCTACCCATCAAATTCATATCTTTCCCTTTTGGAGAGAGGGATTTTGTGGGGACTGTGCCAGTGCCCTCACTGAAGTCCAGACAGACAACGTCAGTGGCTCTTCCCTGTTCCACTGATACAGTTACGCCATCATAAAAGGACACCAGGTTGGTTGGGTAGCAACCACGACAAATGTCAGGCAAGTCTCGCATCTCTCTTTGCAGACAGAGCATTTACAGCTTAGAATCTGATGTATGACTTGGTAGCTCCCAAATGAGTCCATGATTTGCCCCTTAAATGCAGTATCCCTACATGCAGGAGTAGCTTGCACAGCCTGAGAAAAAGGGTGGTATGTTGAGAATAAGGGATAACCCATAAATGCCTCAGCAATTACCGACAGAAACATCAGCTGTAAGACAATTCTGTGTCCTCAGTAACTTACAGGTGAGCAGGAGCTCTTGTCGTTTCCTTTCCTTTTGTGTTCTATTTCAAATATATGATCTCCTAATCAACATAAACTCAGCAAAAAATGACTACAAATTCTAAATCTGAACACTTTGAGAAATTTAGAATATAGTCACAGTCAGAGACGAAACATTTAAGTTTAGGTCTAGCTTTATCTAGGCTCATGCTTATAGTAGAATTAAGGCTTAATTATGCTATTGTACATCTCAAATTAAAAGCAATTTCTCAGAACAATCAAATCATAACAGAAACGTTGATACTGCAGAAGCTTCTGCAATATCTATTCCAAAAATTACATGAAATTTTGTGCAGACTAAGCCAACTAACAATTGATTTGTTCAAAATAATACTCTTACTACTGGTAAGCCTAAAAAAACTCCAAGGTAGAAATGCTGCACTTCCTGTTTCAGACAATAACAGGTTACCCTTGATGTTCTTCCCATGTGTTCAAAGGTACTCCTTGGAGGAGAACAAACTAAAAGTGTGCAAAATCCTTTAATTCCTTAAGACCTAGGTGGACTATTTTAAATTATTCAGGCTTAAATCTGCTTAGATAACACACTGTATGTCACCAAATCCCCCCTTCCTGCAAACCACAAGCAATGACCAAAGAAGCCAGAACTACAGGACTGCAGTAACAAGAAATGAAACAGTTCTGAATTACACTCTTACTTGCTGTGGGAAGCACGTCCGTACAGAATGCTCTGTGTATCCAAAAGAAGGTCCCTCAAACACAGCAGTTGGAAGTTTTAGGACTTCTTTCAAAAACTGATCAAACTTGGAAAATATCATCAGTCCGTTTGAATCTGATATTTGAGAGAAAATATCTGTAAGAAAATACAATAAAACATTTGGGTAAATACACGCTTGCTACAGAAAAGAAAAGCCTAATAATTTCAGTTCATTTAAACTCCAAAGCACTACTCCTGTTGTTTAATTCTAAACACAATTTCTTTTTAGTTGATATCAAGATAGAATTTATGAATGACCACGTTTCAATGTGCTGTGACATAAACCCCTCCATCCCATATCAAAAAGCAATGAGAATAAAGACATCAAGGCACTGAGGGACATGGGTAGGGGGCAGGATGGGATGGGTTGGTGGCTGGACGTGGTGATCACAGCTATCTGTTCCAACCTTAATTCTATGATTTCTTAGCCTCTCCAGCCCCTCTGCCCACCCATCCCACGCTGCTAACCCAGAGCTCTGTGTCTCAGCAAAAGTAAAAATATAGGAAAAGATGGACAGAGAGGGTTGGAAGAAAATGATGTCATGGGAGGTGCTATGACTGCTGCACTCAGATAGAGCAGAACTGTCCAGGGGCAAAAATCTCTCTGGAAAATACACATTCTTGAACAGTAAAGCTTGGTCTCTGCTATGACTGCAGTCAGGTTACACTACAAAGAAAGACTTCTCTAATATTAGTAAGACCTAAAATGTTTGAAGACAAGACAGGTACCAGAATGCTTCACTAAGCAGCCTCTGAATCATCTATGAGGCTATCTAAGACACCATAAGTAACTAAACATCAAAAAGGATGCGCTGACAGAAAGTAAGCTTAGTTTAAGTGATCAAAGCCATGTCTGTAAAAAAAACTACTTTAGAAAGGTGTACTTCTAGTGAACTAAAATGAATGAATGAGCTCATGAAGAAGTCTACAGTGCTTGAGATGAGGGCTGGATACTAGGAAAAGTCTTCTCTCTGAAGAGTGGCCAAGTATTGGGATAGGCTGCCCTGGGAAGTGATGGAATCACCATCCCTGGAGATGTGATTTGGAGATGTGGCACTGAGGGAGGTGGTCAGCAGGCATGTGGTATGGGTTGGGCTTGGGCATCTTGGAGGTCTTTTCCAACCTGAATGACTCCGTGATACAACTGCCTGCGGTTTGTATCAGGCAAAATGTACAGGCTTGATGGGAAGGTCTGAAGTCCTTGCTAAACAGTCTTACAAGGCATATAAGAAATAAGGACTGGAAAAAGAAGAAAAAAAAAAAAAGAAACAAGAAAGGGAGAAGCTAAGTGATGAAAGAATGCTATATTTTAAAGAACTAATCCAAGCAGAAAAATCAAATTTCACTGGAAAATTTAACATGGAAGAGAAGTGATGGAAATAACTGGAACTAATTAGAGAGCAAAACCTTCACAATCCTAAAATGCTGAATATCAGATTCGCCCCAGAACCAGCACATGAACTTGGTCCAATAATCAGTCTATTAAGGAGGGACTGGTAGAACATGACTGCATCATGACAGTACTTGTATTTAAAAAAAGTACAAGAATCATTTGGGTAAATACAATCTATTAATCTAATTTCATCAGCATGCAGGATTTAAATGATTTTAAGGAGAAGGTAATTAAAGCTATGAAAGAAATGAAAAATGAGATAAAAATGAACAAGCTAGATCAAGAATAAATTAAAAGAAACCCAAGTGGTTTTGTAGTCAAAATGAAGTTGAAGTCATCTATGTGGGGAAACTTTCACAGGGGAAATTAGAGGTTGAAATTGGAAAAGATAAAGATTCATAGGATTTAATTAAATAGTCATCTTCCCTTCCAAAGGGCACTAAGTTACCTGAAAAAAGAAAACCTCAAGCTAAACAGGAGCTAACAGTGTAATTTCTCAAGATCCCACCTTAAGGTCACATCACGTATGTGCTAATTAAGTTTCCCTATGACAAGGTATTATACTTTAATTCTCATCCAAAGATTCACTTCAGTGCAACCACACTATAAACATGTTTCTGTACTTTCTTTTTTTTTTTTACTAGAGAAAATAAAAAATGAACACCAAAACACTGCTCAATTCCAAAGATACCAATGTAAAATGGAGTAGAACTTGATGAGCACTGTGAACAAAGCTCCTAGCATATCACAGAATCACAGAATGGCCTGGGTTGCAAAGGCCCACAGTGCTCATCCAGTTCCAATCCCCTGCTGTGTGCAGGGTCACCAACCAGCAGCCCAGGCTGCCCAGAGCCACATCCAGCCTGGCCTTGAATGCCTGCAGGGATGGGGCATCCACAGCCTCCTTGGGCAACCTGTTCCAGTGCCTCGCCACCCTCTGGGGGAAAAACTTCCTCCTAAGATCCAACCTAAACCTCCCCTGTCTCAGTTTAAAACCATTCCCCCTTGTCCTATCACTGCCCACCCTCACAAACAGCCGTTCCCCCTCCTGTTTCTGTGCTCCCTTCAAGTACAGGAAGGCCACAATGAGGTCTCCCTGGATCCTTCTCTTCTCCAAGCTAAACAAGCCCAGTTCCCTCAGCTTTTCCTCACAGGAGAGGTGCTCCAGCCCTCTGATCATCAAATAAACCTGTCCAGTATTTCCATTGAGAGCCTTCTTTCAACTGATTGTAACTTTGTCAGAATCCACCAGCCTGCATTTTCTACTGGGCATCTGCCTGATGCTTTACAGTTTCAGCTGAAGACCCAACCACTTCCCTGCATGAGTTAAAAACAAAGGAAAAAACCAAACAGACCAAAACCCCTGGCACCCTCATTTTTTAAGGAGTGGATTGGGAGACTTTCCTGTGCCTCGATTCCCTCAAAGTTGACAAATTTAATTGTACAAATTTGAATAACATTTCTTAAAAACTAATGAATAATAGTTTAAAAGCCAAGAAAATAAATCTGTAACAGACAAACTAATTTGTGCTTCTTAGGGGATTTTTCCTGGTCTTAATCTAAAATACATAATCAAGTAAAAAGAGCAAACCTAGGAAATACAAGCCAGTCAGCCCCAGAAAATTCTTTTGGAGCACGTTTCTGAGCACTCAAATTTGACTGGAGCAGTTGGTAGGGATCTGCTAAGGAGAAATTCCATCTGACCAGCACAGCTTGCTCTTCTAGCATTAAAAGTGGGACGTCACAGTCTGAAGGGGTGAAAAGACAGGTGGGTAAGGAGCAAGTTGGATGATTGGTCTTAGAGGACAGTAGATAATGGGTCACGCTGCATGGGGGCCAAGAACAAGGGGACTGGTATAAACAAGAAGGGGACTGGTGCTGGGCTCTGTCCTGCTCAACATCTCTGCTAGTGAAGAGCAGGGTACACTGTCCTCAGGTTTGCAGGTACAAAGCTGGAGAGGTCCAGGTACCCAAGTGGCCATAAAGACTAAGGGCATCCCGGCTTGTGTCAGAAATATTGCAGTCAGCAGCACAGGGAGCTGACTGTCCCTCTGTACTCAGCTCTGGTGAGACCACTCCTCAAGTACCGTGCTCAGTTTTGGGCTCCTCGCTATGAGAAAGACAGTGAGGCACTGGAGCACGTCCACAGAAAGGCAAGTGAAGCTGTGAAGGGTCTGGAGCACAGGAGTCATGAGGAGTGGCTGAGGGAGCTGGGATGGGTCAGCCTGGAGCAGAGGAGGCTCAGGGGAGACCTCACTGCTCTCTGTAGCTCCTGACAGGACGTTGTGGTGAGGTGGGAGTTGGCCTCTGCTCCCCAATAACAGTGATGGGATGAGAGGTGATGGCCTCAAGTTGCACCAGGGGAAGTTCAGTTTAGATATTAGAAAAAATTCACTCTCTGAAAGAAAGGTCAAGCTTTGGAACAGGCTGCCCAGGCAGGCGGTGGAGTCACCATCTCCAGAAGCATTCAAGAATCACAGAGATGTGGCACTGAGGGACATGGTCAGTGAGTGTGCTGGAGGTGGGTTAGGGATGGACTTGGTGATTTTAGAGGCCTTTTCCAACATTATTGATTCCATGAAATCCTACAATAGCCCCAAAAGCAAGGGCTGCCATCCAGTGAGACCCAGGCAAGCTGAAGGAATGGGTCAAAAGGAACTGTATGAAACAAAAAAAGGACAAATGCACATTCCAAAATGCATGTGATGCTGGCTGGGGACTGGCTGGCTGGCACAGACCTGCAGGAAATGTCCATGGGAAATCTGGGGTCCCAAGTTGAAGATGAGCCAGCAGCATGGCACAGCAGCAAGGAAGGTCAACAGCATCTTGAGCTGCATGAGCAGGAACTCATCCTCTGTTGAGGGAAGTGATTCTTTTCCTCCCCTCAAAACTTGCTACACCTCCTCCAGGCATTGTGTCCAGCTTTGAGACCAACAGAATCACAGAGTATCTGAGAACCACACAAGGTGAAAGACATACTGAAGTGTAGAGGGCTACAAGGATGCCCAGCAGGTTGGAGCACTTATCCTGTGAGGACAGGCTGAGGAAACAGCACTTGTTCACTCTGAAAAAGACTGAAATATTGGGAAGACATAATAACAGTATCCCAAAACCTACAAGGAGGCTGTGAAGGACACAGAGGAAGGTGCTTTTTGAGGAAGATGTAGTGATTTGCATTTGAGAAGTAGGCAATGGAGAGGCCATAAGTCTGGCTGGTGCAGACTGTGCACCAGAGAATCTAAGAGAACAGACACAGGATAGACTATGGGCATTCACTGCAGGCATCCATATGGCACAGGTATATCCACTAAGAGGCCTTCATCATGGTCATCCAGAGAGGGGAACAAACCCAGGTCACAGTGCTGTCTGTGTGGGTGCTCTCTGGTCCTACTGTTCCATGGGTCCATCTTGATCCTACTGGGATACAGGCCCTTAAAATGAGCAAGGTTGGAATTTGTTTGAAGTCAGGTTCTGTTTGCAATTTACTTGCAGAAAGGACATGGAAGGAAACACTAATTACTTCACTATGGATCTGCTTGAATGCCAAAATGAGGTCACTCAAATCCACAGACTTCATCATATTTATATGGTATTTCTCTAGCTTAAAAAATGTGATGCTAAAAGCTAAGCCCATAGCAACAGGCTGAGCTTATAACTCCTTCCTTGCACTTCATGTAAAGCAACTCCTTCACAAGGAGTGTCAGCCACTGGAAATAATCTTTCCCACTGAAAGCAAAGTGGCATTGTTGAACAACTCCATTCATATGTAATGTCAGACACTGTGCAGTCTAGAAAAAAAAAACTCCACTTGTTTGCATTTTCAGAATGTCGAAAGAAAGCCTGCAAGTATCTGCAAGTACAGAGACCAAGTGACTGCAACTCAAATTCTGAGATGAGAAAAAGAAATATTTACAGCTTCCTGGATTTCCACAAAGCCTCATGGTCCAGCTGAGCTGGCAGCCTGCTCACTTAGTGCCTTCAGTCCTCGTCTCGGAGGGGGAACGGAGCAGCTGTTTTCTATTCAGCACGAACACGCTGTTCATGATTTTACACAATGCTGTCCCTTCACCACCATTTTGCTTTCCATCCAGGTTGAAGATTCCTGCTCTACATCTAGTTGCTCCTTGTACAGAAAGTTTGTTCTGACTTTGGTGACTGCTGTTCTTCTCAGGAAAGATAAAGCAGATCTGAAAGGCAGAGTGAGTGCAAGGTACCACAGCAGCGCTCATGCTAAGCACAAACATACCATGGATTTATGCAATGCCTTAGTCTTCCTGTTTTGTTCTTTATGTCCTTCCCTCTTGGTCACAGCACTTCACTACTTTAACTACTACTAGATAGAGCATCAATCCTCCAGAAGAAACTCCAAGATCTGTCTTAGCACTAACAACTTCCTGAGCTCACCTTTCTGTGCCTGACATTAGGATGACACCTCACTCCTCCAGCACACAGCACTGCACATAAATTCACACTGAACTTCAGCTACCATTTCATTCACAGTTACTCAGCACTGCCAGATGACGCTACAACTCTTCGCAGTCTATTTTGGCTTTTACTACACCAATCTACTTTATAAAAGACTGCCATCTTCCATTCTATTTTTCCAGATCATTTATGACACGTTAAAAACAGCTCAAGTCCAGCATTATTCACCCACCTTTTACTGCTCTTTTTTGGGCTCCCTTTAGCTAATGTCTTACACATAGAAAAGATCTTCCTTTCATCCCTTTCAGACTTTAATGTTTTTATCTATTTGATAAGATACTTGAAGTCCTTTTAGAAACTGAAGAATTCTGTGTTGGTCAGAAATCCTTTGCATTTTTCTACTTTTTTTGCCCTACTTTAAGGAACTCCTACAGTTTTGTAAGACATTCCTTCCAAAAGCCATTCCTCCTCCCTGCCCAAGAAATTATTTACCCATTAATCAACTAATTCTATTCTTCATTACTACCAGTTTGCCCCGAAGTGCATCAGGCCTACAGGTGAAAGGTGCTTACAGTGAAAGCAGGGTTGGTCTTCTCACTGGTGACAGATGACTGGATGAGGGGAAATGGCCTCAAGTTGTGCTGGAAGGTTTAGGCTGGATATCGGGAAACACTTCTTTACAGAAAGGGTTGTTAAGCACTGCAATGGGCTGCCCAGGGAGGTGGTTGAGTCACATCCCTGGATGTGTTTAAAAACCATTTGGATGCGGTGCTCGGGGACATGATTTAGCAGAGGGTTGGTTAGTTAGGGTAGTATGGTTAGGTTGCAATTGGACTTGATGATCTTTAAGGTCTTTTGCAACAAGAAAGACGAGAGAGAGAGACAGAGTTCTCCATATGGCCCTTTCTAAACTTCAGTACATTTTCTTTTACCTCCTCCCTTGGTCCTCAGAAGTTTTTCACAAAGGTAACCAACAGTAATTCAGCTACTCTATGATTTGCATTCTAGCTCTACTCATCTTTTTCCAGTAGCAGTAATACTTCCTTTCTCCTTCCATAAGAAACTTTACAAGATCATGCTATCCTGCATCACACCCTTCCGAGTTTCTCTCATCTTCCACAAAAAAAGTTGACCCATTATCATGTCTGAAAAGCCAACGGCCTGATTTTAAAATCACAGCATCACTAAGGTAGAAAAAAATTACTAAGATCACCTAGTCCAACCACCAACCCATTAGTCCACCAATCAACCTATTAGAGAACAGCCCGGTTGAAAGAAAACTATTCCTTCCCACGCAGGTTTGCTCTGCTCCTCTTTCTGAATTCCTGGATAAAAGAAATTCATTTCTCACAGTTGGCTGATAGCATATTACAGGGATTTCAAATGGTCAACAGTTAGTACTGCCATCACCATCAAAAGCAGCCAAAAGCATGGTGGAAACAGCTTTAGTGATATACCAAGAAGGATAAGGAAAAAAACTGAGTTTAAAGCTGAATTTAAAAAGGCAGAAGTGCTGCTTCCCAGAACGCATGTCAAATACAGAAGTCACATGCTCTCTGGAAAACAAAGCTCCATACCCAACCATGGAATTATCCAACCATGTAATTATCCAACCATGTTTGCCCAAGCCACTGGAACAGGTTGCCCAAGGAGGCTGTGGATGCCCCATTCCTGCAGGCATTCAAGGCCAGGCTGGATGTGGCTCTGGGCAGCCTGGGCTGCTGGTTGGTGACCTGCACACAGCAGGGGGTTGGAACTGGATGAGCATTGTGGGCCTTTGCAACCCAGGCCGTTCTGTGATTCTATGTAGATAGTGCATAGAGAAAACAGGGAGTGCAGATACTGGAGGTCAGATCCCAGCAGTACAATATAAATTGGAAGGCAGCTGATAAAGTGCAAGAAAGAAGGAAAGACACGACAACCAGAATATAAAAAAGCAGCATTCAGTGAGAGTAGTCAAAAACCTTTCCTACAACCTCAGCTGAACCTCAGTTAAGAATTTTCATAAAGAAAATTACCATATTAAAGGAAATAGGACTCAACAGGATTAGCAAAAAGAAAAAGAAAGTTTTGTATGCTAGGAAAAAAGCTGGGGTGAAGAATAGAACATGAAATGCACAACTATCAAGTTTTAAGACACATTTGTGAAGCAGGACGATTAAATAAGGTGACTTTCAGGTGAAGACATCTTAATCAGCCACTTCTGACTCAGCACTTGGTAGCCTAGCATAACCTCCAGGATGGTGTCTGGGCTTTGTTTGAAAGCATCAATTCCTTTACCATCTAATTCCATGGTTAATTGCCCTTTTAAAAGGTCACTTTTTACCATTTGTTTGACATGCTTCGGTGTGGTCCTACTTATGCATAAAAATAGATCCCCTTTTCTGTACCAGGTTTATACCGAACTGTTTATCTATTGTAACCTCTTAAAACCCTGAGGTAATGGGATCCAAGTTTGTGTAGTTTAATAGATCACACTGGTATTTTGTATCATTTTGAAAGAAAATATGTTTTAGAAGTTTAATGCTGTGGAAAAGTGAAAAGAATTATTTAGGGTGAACAATAATCACAGAGGTCAGAAGGAATTAATTATCACAAAATAACTTTCATAAAGGGAATTTAGGGGGGATATGAAAACCAATGAAATCAGAACAGCAAAATCTGGCACTAGCAGTAAGACCTGCTTCCAATCTTTTCAGGACAGAAAGGGAAAGAAAATCCCATAAACCACACTATGGCTTGCCACTGAGAAGGATGGAAGAATTACATGTAAGTGCCAAAGATTTTAAAATAAACACATGGACTCAGAAAAGCTGTTCATAACACACTCGGTACGTTTGTTGTGTGACCAGCAGATGGCATGTGTTACAAAAAAACCATGAATGTGACAACACTGCCCATTCACCACACACACACAAAAAAAAGGACAAAAATTGTTGTCATTTTGATTGGAAATACTTACATCTTAGTTTGTCCAGTATTTTGCCACCACACATTGTTGCTAACATTGCTTTCACTGAAAACACCGTCAGCTTCCCATGGCCCTCGCTGTGGAAAAAAGTACATGGTGAGTAATTGCTGTAGAGTGAGAAGGAACACAAACACTGAGGTTGTAGGTAGGGAATACATAACTGTTAACAACTAAGATCGAGCACAGCTACTTACTGTAACATTATACCAGTGCTAATATCCTGAATATACCACACAGAACAGGAATAACATGAGCAGTCTTTTATTACAGTTGAAACTGATGGCATGTATGGGGAATTGTTGTCTAACATCAGCAAGAGAAAATGAACCTGCCCATGTGGAAAGCATGAGAAAGCACACTGAGCACATGACAGTATGCAGAAACAGCAAGGTGTGTTACCCCTGTTACCAGAAGAGGATGAAATTAGGTGGAAGCAAGTCACCAGGCCAAGACAGGCTGAGTGAAACACGCTGCAGTAAATACTGGCAACAGATTCCAGCTGCACCAGCCTGGTCAAAGGCACACACTCTGCCTCTCTGATTCCCAATTTCTGGATGAGCTTCCATAGCCATAAAGATAGAAGACAGACAACCTTCACTGTGCCATACTGGAGGACCAGTACATGGAAAATGCTAGGAAGGAGTAAAACCACTGAAAGTAATTCTGCCTCGCGGCACCAAAACAGTGACAAAATTTTTATTTTAAGGCTAGAAAGTTAACAAAACAGTAAAGATAGCAGTTATCCTACTTCATTTCTGTCTTTTAGTTTCCTCAAAGGAAAAAGTTGGCACTCCTGCTATGCCAAACCACCAAACCACAGAAATAACAACACCCAAAACCCAACAAGAAAGACTTTACTGCATCTGTAATCTGAAGTCTGAAAAGATCCATTCTCTTCAAACCTTGGTCTCTGCTTGTCTCAGCAAATCTCAATAACCATTTCAGGCTTCTTTAAAGCAGAGTCTCAACCTTTCTTTCCATTTGCTCTGTTACAGCCACTCTTCTCTCAGCTCTGAATTATTTTTTAATTAATTGAAAGAAAGAACAAGTGACTGGAACCATCCATGTCTCCTCACATGGTACAATCTTATCCTTGAAAGATATCTCACGGTGCCTTCAGATATAGGTCTGCTTCTGCTGACATTCTGTTTATTAATCAAGAAAATAAAATTAAAATATCCTCCCCCTGCAATCTGGTAGAGAGGTGTAGGTAAGCAAACTGCCAACATCTACATTGATTTTTGGTCCCATGTGACTCCATCTGCTGAATTCCTTACCAAAAGGAAAAAGGACAGAACTTTCGGTACAATTTCGAAACTTCTGTGACACTCATGAGTTTGAAGGATAGGAATAAGTCTGTGGGACTTGTTTAAAACAGATGGAGCCTGTGGACAGAGAAGGACCTGTATGTGCTGATGGCCAATAAGGTGATCATGAACCAGCAGCGCGCCCTTGTGGCCACAAAGGCCAGCGGTGTTCTGGTTGACCAACAGTAGGCCAACAGTTGACCAAAAGTTGACTAGGAGCCAGATGCATGCCCTAATGGCCAAGAAGAACAATGGGACTCGGGTGCATTGCACAGAGTGTGACCAGCAGGGCAAAGGCAGTGCTACTCCAGGAATGCTCAAGGAGTGCTTGGACAGTGCTCTCAGCCATAAGGTTTGGGTGGTCCTGTGCAGAGCCAGGAGTTGGACTCGATGATCGTTGGGGGTCCATTCAAACATGGGCTATTATATGATTTCAGACCTGCAACTCCTCCTTTTTATTCCCCATTCTGTATGCAATATAAGGTGATTAGTTCACAAAGACACTCATAAAATGGCTTGGGTTGGAAGAGACCTCAAGGATCATCAAGCTCCAACCGCCCTGCCACAGACAGGGCTGCCAGCCTCCACGTTTAATACCAGACCAGGTCATATCAATTTCCCAAAAAAGCCATCACAGCTTTCCTCATAGTGCTGCTCTGTGGGCACTTCCCAATACTCCGAAAGCTCCTTCCAGCTTTGCCAACTATAGGGTCCATCCTGATCACGCTGCTTGCCAGCTCATCTCCTCACATGACTGTTGGTCATCCTCTCCCTCCTCCTTACTGCGTGCTGCTGTTACAATATGAAAACAAACAAGGAAGTTGAAGCAACTAAACCTGTTGCTAAATCAAATGCATTTCTAGAAAAGGTGAAAGCAGAAAGAATGGACCATTGCTGTGTGGCACCAATCGTGGGTCAGGGATTTCAGAAAGCTGGAGAAGGCTACCAAGAAAAACAGGCTCTGGAATGAGCCACCACCACTGCCAAACACCCACAGGCAGAGCTTCATGGGAGAGAGCAGCAAAGAATATCATAACACAGCTACTCCTCCTCCCAACTCACTACTGTACACGGTATGAACCACCAGTTGTGCACCACAACCAGTGCTGTTCTACAAGTCTCAGGGATGAGCTGACTGTGAGCCTAGCTCTCCTCTCATTCTTGGCTTTCCCGTGGCACAACACAGTGCAGCATCACAGCTTCTCTCTCAACACCATGTGACAGATAGAGGAAGCTCAACAGAAACTGCTGTGTTGTGCTGGGAGCAAGCAGGCTGCTTGTGCTGCAGACAAGAGGTGGAATTTGCAGGTTTGGGGCAGAGGGAGACAAACATCTCTAACTAAAGCCTCAATCTTTTGAGCCAGTCCCCCAAAACATAACCACTTCTATTTTAAATTCTACATTTTCTAGTGTGACCTGACTCAGAATAAGGAAACTCATCGGTTACCCTTTACAACAACTCTCACAATCAATATCATATCACATTAAACAGAAAAATATAAAGGTTTGATTCTGATGTCATAGCAGTATTGCCACTATAAGCTCTGCACTGTTTTTAACTGTCCTGAGTGAGACTGGGATTGTTCTGGACCTTTGGGGAGGATAATTCTAGCTGCTCTTTGGTGACCTTAAGAAGAGGAATTAAGAATGATTAAAACTTGGACATTACAGGCACAACAACTATTTGGCATAGTGGTCCCGGCTGCTGTAGGTAAAACTCCTTCATCTCTGTGTCAACATCCTGGCCACAAGCAGTTTTCTGCTGCTCAGAGAGAAGGCAAAAGCAGAAGAAACAAAACAGATAACAACTGACTGTGAGAAAGATAAGAAAAAAGAACTCATTAACAACAGAGAAAGATTTCCATTTACTACTCAGAGAACCCAGAGGTAACTTTACTTGAGATCAGCAGATTAACCCCTGATGAAAGAGGCTGTGAGGGAAACTTATTAAAGCTGGACCCAAGGGAGTGCCTGGCAGTATTCTGAACAGGAAAACAAACTTCTCCCAGTCAACAAATAAGAATTAGACTTTATGTGGTCACAGTGTGTTATAATACGATCCGAGCTGAACGTTGAAACAAGGCAGCCTTATAAAACGGTCTCGTTGATCAAGAGTCAACAAAAAAACCTTTCACTTTGCTACATTGGTACAAAACATTGCTACAGCATCACGAGTTTAACATTATGTCCTACCACAGCCTGCAGAACAGTTCAGACACGCAGCTCACAGCAGGCTGCAATTTCCAGAAGGCACTCGCTCACCTTCCTCAAGAAAGCAATTTTTAACAAAAAGCTTTGCTGCTGTGGCAGTGTAGAACTGTAAATCTCTGCAGGCACTACCATGATATGAAGTGTTTGTGCAACACACAATTCCACAAAATGAGAAATAGCATGCAGACACTTTGCCAGAGACTCATGCAGTTGCTGGCAGCATTCACCTAACTGAAAGAGAAAAGTAGTTCAGGAGTACAGCTAGAAGAGTTACTAGCCTGTCATACGCTGCTATCATGAAGTTGAGGAGAAGGCTGATGGATTGCTCTACGCTGATTTGGTGAGTAGAAGGAAGGCGTTTGTTGAGCTGGTAGTAGATGGATGAAATGATTGTTTCTAGTCGAGACACGTTGATCTCTGTGTTATGATCCAAAGTGTTAAGGCCATTATCTCGGAAGGCTTCAATCATATTCCAGATATCAACAAGATGAACTAAAAATAAAGGGGAAAAAAACATTAACTTCTATTCTGTAATGCACACAATCTCACTTCTAAGGCATTACATCCGAATATGACACTAGTTTTTATTTTGGAGTCAACCACTACTTACTCATCTTCAAAGTGAGAAACGGAGTCTTGATACTCATACTCAGCTCACACCAGATACTCGAAAGCAACAGCAGTGCCCTGAGTCCCCATGGGCCTTTTATTCTGCCCCTCAAAGGAGGGCAAAGCCACATAAAGGAGAAACGTGCTCCTCCACCATCACCTAGTGCTGTAGCCAAATTATGTATTTTCTTCTGAGAAAGACATCAGCCACATTCAATATCCACTACAGTAACCAGTTTGTAATGTTGAACATCCCTGTACTAACTAAAAGCTCAGTGCTAGAAAAGGAACTTGATGTTCCAGTTAAACTGTGACTGCTTCCAGCTGGTGCCAAGAGAAAAATACTTCATAAACATACGCCTTGAACTCCAAAGCTGTCCCTAAATTATCCCACTGTAGCTGTTCAGGTATCTAACTGTTAACAACGCAGTGAAAATGTGCCATAACCACACTAAGTGATCTGTAGAACAGCATTAAACAATGTTTGACAATGTTTCAGTGTTTGAAAAGCATGCAGGGCAGTGGGTAGGACATCTGAGGACCAGCAGGAATCCATTGGTCCAAACCACCAATTCACACCAAACACACACCCTGGATCACCACCTGGTGCAGACAAAGATCACAAGAGCACTCTGGTTTATGCATATATGGAAATGAAAGGTTACTCAAGGCATATGTATGGCACCAGTGAGTTAGGCCCCAAGTGTGTATGGCACTATAATTAGCAGATCTTGATACCTTGCTACTGATTAAGAGACCTTTTTAATTCAAAAGCATGGTTAGTGTTTTTCGTTTAGGAAAAGCATACCACTTTTCCTAAGGCATGAAGAATGTGTGGAGCTGCAGTTTGCATCTGCACACATCTGCAGGACTCCTCAGCTGCTCTCCTGTTCTCTCCCACACCAGTTTCATCACTGGTAGGAGGCAGCTGCTTCAATAGTCTACCAAGCATTTTGTTTGGTCCAGTTTAATAAAGGAAACAGAACCCTTGGGTTCATCCTTACTTTGGTGAACTATTTAACATGGAAGGCAATGGAAGAGAATAAGAAAACATACAGTGAGTAGCGTGGCATAAACTTCAAGTGCTCTCTGTGGTTGCTATATATATGCCATGATGGTGTTCCACTGGAACAGGCTGCCCAGGGAGGTTGTGAAGTCTCCTTCTCTGGAGATGTTCAAGACCTGCCTGGATGCCTACCTGTGTGACCTGCTGTAGGGAACCTGCTTTGGCAGGGGGTTGGACTCGATGATCTCTGGAGGTCCCTTCCAACCCCTGTAATTCTGTGATTCTGTGAAATGCAGACACCTCTGCGCTGGTAATCACCACCAAGCTCACAGCTGCATCAGCTGTCTGCTGGCTTCTGTTCCACCATGGTGGAAAGGAGACAAAACAGTCCGGGGCTGGCTGCACTGAAGTATGTCAGTCTGGCCCAGGTACTTTAGGTTTTCCTTTAAGCATTAGAAACTAAAACTGAAGACACTATAAATACCGGTCAAAAATCACTGCCTCTTTAATGATCCTTAATTTTAAGTATTGTTTATTATTGTTGATTATTCCTGCTTTATTTCAAATTCACATGGGTAGAATATTTGCATGAGAAATTGACAAAGAGTGATTACAACTTACGGTTACATCGCTTCTGCACAAAGCGCAGCTTGCAGGCTGTCCGATACGTTGAAAGTCTGATGACATCAAAGTTCTGGGCTCCTGTGAATAAAAAAGAAGTTTGTGTTTTTTCTTGCCCCTACGACACTCAGCTTATTTGTTTACTTTACAAGTGATGCTGACTGGTTCTTCACACGCATCATCCCTGTTACGGGACAATGACCAAGATGAGGAAATGGGAGCAGTGTATTACAAACTGATGGAAGCGTCAGACTGACATGAGAACTCTGAAATCCCAAAATGGAAACAAGAACTGGATTGAGTTGCAAGTGTGCACAAAGAGGAGCTCGCTGCTGTTGGGTGGTGGGTGCACAAAAGACAGAAAAAAAGGAGGGTGATGCTCCTACCACAGTCTGCATTGCCACCCCCACCATTCCCCCCCCGGAAGCACACTTTCCTTCTCCCAAGCAGATCTACACCAGGTAAAAAGCAGAAGAAAATGTACAGAGGAGAGAACCCCAACCTCACCAACATCTCCCACTTTAAGATGCTTAAAACTTTTATTGTACCTTCAGCCAATCCCACATCATGTAAACGCTGTTATCTGTCACCCGTCTGCATCACATCCACCAGCTCCTGCCAGCACCGCAATTACTTTGAACATTACAAACCTGGGCAATCCCTGAAACTTGTATTAATCCTCTGCCAAAGGCCAAACAGATCTGAGCATCTCCTGGGCTGATCGGATGAGATGATAATGATGTGGGAATGATAAATGACACTGCTCTTAAGTCTGGTATCGATCATTTCAGATCTGGAAGAAGCCAACAACTGGTCCAGGCCTTGCAAATTTCATTAATCATAAACAGAAATGTCTGAACTGGCTCACATTTCAACAGCACTTGTGGCTGTGATCAGTGTACGCCCTGTAATCAGTGGAGTTCTAAGGAGGAGTGTGAACAATCTGGCTGCACAGCAGTGGCTGCACATGGATCCTGCACCTCCCATGTTCTCACAGGAGTGCACAAAAGTAACATCTATGCAATCTTTCAGACAGGCAACATCACTGCCTCCATGAAGACTGGACTGAGGAACAGGGAAAACCGACTCAAAGAATGCAGACCTCTAAAAAAGCACACACACCAAAAAACAACCCCAAAAGCAACAAACCCACATCCTCCTGAAGAAGGTACGTGGCTGCTGTATCGGGGTCATGCTCAAAGGTGATAACTTTTTTTCCTCCTGCAGCATTCCGAATTCAGAAACCAATCTGCAAACCTTTGAGTCCACGCTCACCAACTCACAACTGCAAATTTCAAAAGCCACCTTATTTGATCAGTACAGGAGACGGGCAGATCGGTTTGGTCTTTTTGTCTTTTGGGTGTTTTGTAAGAGATTTGCAAATATAATGCCGTCACCTGCTAAGACTGACACAGACCTGTAGGCTGTCTTGAAACCAGAGAACATGAGGTGAAAAGCATTTCCTAAGAGCAGTGAGAGCACTGACCTCTACCTCAATGAGAAGCTCCCCAAAGCTCACCCAGGAGTGGCACCAGATGAGCCAACCTGGGCAGCATACGGCTGGGCAGTGTGGCACAGCAAGCATTCCTATGTTATTTTTCAGTACCATCTTCAGAAAACTTATCTCAGATTAAGTATCTGATTTAACAGTTGGCAACCCTACCTGTGGCAGGAGGTTGGAACTAGGTGATCCTTGAAGTCCCTTCCAATCCAAGCCCTTCAATGATTTATGAGCTGGACAAATAATGTAAGCTGAAGTATTCAGATCCAAGGCTAGACTAAAATAACTCATTCTGTGCTTTTTATGCAATATTCTTTCAAAATTCTCCATTAGAGTGTTTAGGTCTACCTTCCAACACATGAAAAACAATTCGAACAGATGATAAGTCTTCTCAAACTTTGTCAATCAGAACCTTTTGTATGGCTAGCCAAGGACCAGCCACTGCACTTCATTTTTAGACCTCTTTAGCAGGGTCCCTTGTGATAGACAATGAGAAATGGTTCCCAAATAAGGAGGAGATATTTTGCATCGATACAGGGAAAAAGCTTTTCTTATGTTAAGTGTGGTGAAGCACTGCATCAAAGAGGTGGTGGATGCCCCTGCAGAAACCCAAGGTCAGGCTGGACAGTGATAAGACAAGGGGGAATGGTTTTAAACTGAGACAGGGCAGGTTTAGGTTGGATCTTAGGAGGAAGTTTTTCCCCCAGAGGGTGGTGAGGCACTGGCACAGGTTGCCCAAGGAGGCTGTGGATGCCCCATCCCTGCAGGCATTCAAGGCCAGGCTGGATGTGGCTCTGGGCAGCCTGGGCTGCTGGTTGGTGACCCTGCACACAGCAGGGGGTTGGAACTGGATGATCACTGTGGGCCTTTGCAACCCAGGCCATCCTATAACGGGGCTCTTAGCACCCAATCAAGCCCTAAGTGTCCCTGTTCACTGCAGGGGAGTTGGAACAAATGGCCTTTAAAGGTCCCTTCCAACTCAAACAATTGCTCAGGGAGGTGGTGGGGTCAGCGTCCCTGGAGGTGTTCAAGGAACATGGGGATGTGGCAGTGAGGGATGTGGGCAGTGGGCATGGTGGGGTGGGCTGGGGTTGGACCGGGTGGTCTTCTCCAACCTGAATGATTCCATGACTTTATATATTCTGCAGGTCAGGAAATTAGAACAGCTTACACAGATTTCTTGCTAGCTCCACAAATAATACAAAATCTACAAATACACCCTCGGGTGGTGTGTTCAGTGTGGATGAAAGTCATAAAATCTACTTCTGCCTCCTAAGAGGAATCTTCTAAATGCCAGTGAACATCCATGAATGAAGATCTCCTAGAAAGAACACCTCTGCATTCATCTTCACAAGGAAACATGCTGTCTTTCTCGAGACAGATGAACACCTTCAATCTGCCAACCAACAAGTTAGAGTGCCTTCGAGAGAAAAGCAGCTCAAGGAGTCCACACACCTGTACTTCCACTGAAAAAAAACCACCATGAACCACAGCTGCAAAACCCAACAGAACACCTTCTATAAACAGATGATGGAAGAATTATCTATTCTGTTAGATAATTAGAGGAATTGCAAGTATTTTTTAGCAATTTAGCCAAAACTAAAAACAAGCAAGTAGATTCCTGCTCCCCTTGCCTTGGGTGGCAGATTCAAACACTGCCAGCAGACCTCTTTGAAGACAACACTATAATCAACCATGCGTGCTTCAGAAGAAATCTTTTGCTAAAGTAGCTTTAAAGGTATCACCAATATGCAAGGTAATTAGAGCACCAAAGCAGGAATTAAGTGACTCTGAGAATCTTCATCAAATTAATATTGAAGAGAAACTGTATGGCTGCACACAGTTACTGATGAGATGCCAGTTACCTGTAGAAGCCTAGCTGCCCCAAATGATCACCAGGTGATTACTGGAGATACAAGACACGTGCAGTACTCTGATATATCAGACAAAGCTCTTCTAATGGAGAAGCACTACTGTCATTTCACAAGATCCCAATGAGGTTCAATTTGGGATTTCATGTGCCAGTGCAACCACCTTTGCTTAAGCAGAGCAGAGGCACAGAAAGAGATGAGGTGTGTAGGCTGGAGAGTGCAGGTGTTGGCATGTGCCACGTGCTGAGCACACAGAAAGGGATCTCACTGTAACCTCAGACATAAACCAAGCTGGAGGGCAGGGAGGAATACAACCCAGACAGCTCTCACATGAAAGGGAGCAGTTATAAATCGGCCAGGAACAAAACCGTTCTTGAAATGACAAGATGCTTATAACCACACTCAGAATGATGCTCTGGAAATCCTCCAGCAAAACAGTAGCACTGGTATATTATCTGTTTAAGAAAGGCATTCACCAACCTAAATTCTGGATTATAGGATGTGCCAGCCAAATGCAAGGAGTTTCATTCAGTCCTGTGTTTTAGTAGGAAAGAAAAGTAACATAAAGACATGCAAACACACACAAAGACACACACAATCTTTTACTTCTAACTGCTCACATCTTTTTAAAAGGCCATGTGTCATTCTTTAAATGAGATTACCTCCAGACAGGCACTTGATTTATACTAACAATTACAGGCTCTCTTTGGGCATCACGATGCACCTTAAGGTGAAATACGCCCTTTCCGACTTAATTTATTTTACAAGCTGTCTACAAACTTCAGAAGTCCCAATATATGGGAAACATGAATGCTCCTTTTAAAAGGAGCTTGGCAAAGTGTAGAAGTGTAGCACTGCACGGCTCCTCAGGCACTGTTACCCATCTCCTGCACTCTCCTCCTGACCAGCACCCAGGATGCCTTTCACCAGCTCAGGCAATGGTCTTGGGGAAACCAGATGTAAATGATTGGGTGAAATCCTAAAAACAAAGCTCTGTGTAAAGAATAAATGATGTTACCTTCCAGTCTCCTACTTACTCATTTCCATGAACAGCTGTCTCTTCTCCGCCATTGTCCTCCTCCTCTTCCCACTCTCCTCAATCATTCTGAAGACAAAAATGGCAATGAGTGTTTGCGCCAGAATTCCTGTTACAAGAGCAACTTAACGTGAACAATATCATTATATTCATCAACCAAAATAGTTTGGTTAGATTTGGAAAATGAAAAGAAGAGCCAAGAGTTGGACTCGATGAACCTTATGGGTCCCTTCCCAATTTGGGATATTTTGTGATTAAGAGTAGAGAAAAACAGGCATTTCCTCATATCTACAGCATTCCATAGCAGAGACAGTGCAATGCCTCTTCAAGCTGTGATACTATAGGAAACAGTAATTCTGACATTTTAGTTTCTAAGCTTATGTTTGTAAAACTCAGAGATCCTTACAAGCACGATGTTGGGGTGCAGCAAGGAGTTGTCTTGAAACAAAAGGTGTAAGAATATCACCCCACTTTGAAACAAACTGCCCCTTTTTGTCTTCGGGAAACAATGAAAGAAGTGGCATAGAAATAGTGGGACTCATATCCTGAGCTAAGGAGCCACAGGACAATGCAGTGCTTTCTATAGCTTACTTCATAAGGGAGTCTCAATGGACAACTACTCAATCTCCATTGACCGCAGCACAACAATAAGCAACTAAATTCAACATCAGTGTAAAGTTATATTATTCTGTTGTTATTCACCAACTAATTAAACATGTTTTTTAAACGACTTAAACAATGAAACCAACCAACAAACAACAAAACAACAAGAAAATGCCTAACAATCATTCTACACTTCATCAGAAACCAACTCCAAGGGAGCTGGCCGGCTCATCGTCACGCAGCACAATGGCAAGACAGATTTCATTAGGCTTAAATGTCACCCAAGAAAAAGAAGCTGTGTCTTGGCACTTAACATGTGCTCTGATTAACAGCATCCCTCAGCAGTCCTCCACTCTCTGTTAATTATTCTCTGATAAAGAACCCAACATGCATTCATCCTGGAAGCCACCAAGACCTTTAAACTGAGCAGTTCATAAAACGAAAATAACTGCATGGTTGTATCTGGAAATACACTTTGTTTCCTACTTCACACAATCACAGACTTGGAACCAACGTCCTTCTTGCTATCCTCAAACGCTGCCCCAAGCTTAGGAGCTATTTTTCAGTGCTAACATTCCCTTTATCTCTGTAGGCATGCCATCTTGAAGAATGCCAGTTGCTCTACCAGCCAGCAGCTTTATTTCAAATGCCAGCACCTCTCTAAATTCCACAACAGATGGACCCCATGGGTTGGGTTAATTACTCGGTCTTCTAAATAGCTTTAATAGACACCATTTTATCAAGACACAATGCACGATACCACTGCATTTTCTGCAACATTGAGACCCACCAGGTTGACATGACAACTGCTGGCCTTGGGCTTTGAGTGCATGCCCCTCCTCCCACCTCCTAACAACCTGCTCCCATCTGCAGTTTCCTGCAGTGCTGGGACCGGTCCTCATGTCACAGCTGCATCACAGAATGGTCTGGGTTGGAAGGGACCTCAAGGATCATGAAGCTCCAACCACTCAGCTGCAGGCAGGGCCACCAACCTCCCCATTTCATAGCAGCCCAGGCTGCCCAGGGCCCCATCCAACCTGGCCTTGAACACCTCCAGGGATGGACGGGGCATCCACAGCCTCTCTGGGCAGCTGTTCCAGCACCTCACCACTCTCTCTGTAAAGAACCCTGACATCCAACCTAAAGCTGCAATGCAGAACATTTAAAGTCATTATATCACCCTGACATCAGCCCCTTCCCCTATAGAGGCTTCATCATTTTGCTTGTACCAGGATTTGAGATTTCTAGAGGCCGTTCATCTACCAGTGCTATAGAACACTATCACAGAATTCACAGCCAGTAGGCTGAGGCTGACCACAGTACAGGCTTCTAGGGCATCTACCACTACTCTTTGTACTCTGTGCAAGCAACGAGTGATCCATCTGCTCAGTGGCACTCTTGAACTGAGATCTGAGTACGCAAGCCAGCCTCTCCACACTATAAGAGCAGAGACACATGAATGCAGCCTGATCAATCAAAACTCAGGACCTTGTGCCAGGGAAGGTTCAGGTTCGTTATTAGGAAACACTTCTTCTCCAAAAGAGCAGTGCTGCAGTGGCACAGCTGCTCAGGGAGGTGGTGGGGTCACCAAACCTGGAGGTGTTCCTGAACCGTGGGGATGTGGCAGTGGGCATGGTGGGATGGGTTGGACTTGGGGATCTTAGAGGTCTTTTCCAACCTGAATGATTTTCTATAATGAATAAGAAGAAATAATCTTCTGTCTTTCACAAGGGAGCATAACACTTGAAACATTCAGCAGGTGAAGAGGTCAGCAACCACTGAACCAAACAAGTTGGAAAAGACCTCCAAGATCATCAAGTCCAATGGTCAACCCATGCCCAGCATGTTCACTTAAAAATGTTCCTCAGTGCTACATCTCCTGCACTTGCTCACCAAAATAAAAAACAACCAACAAACCCTGTTTGTAAAGCTGGAACAAAGAGGTACAGAAGGACCTGTGAGCCTCAGCAGAACCACAAACAGCCGGGTCCCTAGAAGGGACTTACAGCAAAGCCTCACTTGCAAGCAGAGGAAAGATACTTCAATCTCTTGAAAACCAATGACTGACTGAGAAACAGGCAATGCTTCTTGCTATCTGCATAAAGCTAGAAGCCAAAACACTGCAAATGTTGCAGATCACACATTAAGAACATTTTTAAGCGCGTTATCCTGAAAAGCTGAATTTCACTTTAAAAGCCTGGGTTAAAACTGAAGCACTGAGTCCCGTCTTCGATTCGGCTCCTCTGTATGACTAGGAAACCTGCTAAGGACCACCAGGAGCTGATTTCTAACCCCTCTGCTGTATTTCACTTATGCCCAAGAATGTAACCTCACTCGTACAGTACAGAGATCATTTTCTTATCTCTGCTCTATACTGATGTGTGCTTTGCAGTGAGACAACATATTTAGTCTGGTTCTGTGTTGCTTTCCCTTCCCCAATGCTTTCCCAATTAAAGATCTGTATCCTATGGTATAAAACAAACCTGTTTCATTTTTTCCTCTTGCTACTAAAAAGACACAGAAGTCCTGGCCACAGTAAATACTGAAGACACAAACGAAACAGAAAGGAAATTGGAGGTCTGCAAATGGCTTCAGGTGCTAAGTGAGACCAGCAAGTTTTCAGAACTTACAGTATGGGTGAACAAAGAGCAACACAGGCCTTAATTTCATGAGTTTAAATAACACTCAATTCAACCCAAGGCTGAAATGTCAGCGTTTGCAGAAACGTGCTTGGACACAAACCACCTACACTGCCATCAGCCTTTTAAACATCATGGAAAACCTAAAAGGTGATAAAGATCTGAATTTCACACCCAGATGTGCTGCAGGACGAGCACCCGCTTTAACTGTTCTTGCAGAACGTTCCCTTTTCCCTTAAAGCAGAAAAGCAGTATGACAACATAACCCACCCTGCTAGGTGATGGTGATGGGACAGTAAATCCTGGACGGCTTCCATTGGCATTTCCTCCTCAACAAGCTGCTCTGTTACCTGTAGCAATCTGGAGGGGACACTTGCATTATGATAGCTCCTGCTTCACTTAGCAAAAAGGACGACGAGGAAGTTAGACTAGATGGCCTCCAGAGATCCCTTCCAACCTTAAGGATTCTATGAGGTTCAATCCAATGCATTTTTTTCCTTAAAGGCTTTTACGATCAAATGCAGCTGAATCTGCAGCCAATCCTTCTGGCTGGGCAGCTCCCAGAGTTCCAAGGATTCTGCTCTGCATGGAAAGCTGCAAGCTCAAAGACGTTCTACACGTTTTGGTCTTCATATTGGTTCTTGCCATGCAGGTGCTCTATTCAAGTCCAACTCAATGAACTAGAGGATATTCTCCCTGCAGCAGCAGAGCAGTGCTGACTTTAGCGTAAGAATGGTGCTGGTTCAACACAGTACAGCTCTGTTTTATGTCAAGATGCAGTAACTTTGTTCAAGGAGGCAGATATGAGATCAGTAAGATGAATACATTGCTGTCAAAGAGTTCACCTTCCACCTAGCAGAGAAGCCAGCAGAGGTATTGATGCTGACTGTGCTCTACATATCTTAAAGTCAAGCATGCTCAGGCATGCTAAGAGATACAACAGTGACAATTATTTTTACTTTATATACATATATATATAAGCTATATTTTATACTGCGATGGAAGGAGCATTCCCACATTCTATGGGATAATTCAGCTCTTCACATTTCTCCCTTTTTCCTTACCTTTGAAAATTCTCTCCCATGCCCACAGTACATACAAGCATTATTTAAGCCTGGTTGGATAAAAAACTAATGACATAATAAAAGGTACAGCCAGAATGCTTTCCTCCCCTAGATGTGCTGCAATGGGCTCAGCCACTGATGGCACCACAGTGCTTCTTGATCACTCACAGCTCAAGCACAGAAGGACCTCATCAGGCCAATACTACAGGACCTATATTACAAGGTTTCGCTCTTCTTGGAGCTCATCAGCTGTAGGTAACGGCCCAGACAAATGGCATTGCCTTTTCTATGGATGTCCCATCCCTGCAGGCATTCAAGGCCAGGCTGGATGTGGCTCTGGGCAGCCTGGGCTGCTGGTTGGTGACCTGCACACAGCAGGGGGTTGGAACTGGATGAGCATTGTGATCCTTTGCAACCCAGGCCATTCTATGATTCTATCAGTGGGAGAAGCCTGACCATGGAGCCAACTCCAGCTAATGCCACAGCCCTTGCTCCCGACCCAACCACGGCCACCGTCCCAAATCACACCATCTGTTCTTCCCCAAGCATCACCACGGGCATCTCCTGCCACGTTATAAATCACAGCCTGAAATGCTGTCATCCTGGTTCCGTATCTGCAACTTCAGCTGTTGCCTCACTGCTTTCTAATTACTTTAATTTAGGGACTAAATAAATCAGCTTCTGAGCTATTGAAGGGATGCGTTGCTTTTTTCCCCTTGTTTTGGGGTTGGTTTTTAAATACTCCATTTGTTTTTATTTTGCAATTCCACCTGTGAGACACCCTCCAAAGGAAGCTCTGATAACTTGAAGATCTGATAACCACTATCAGGCACTGTTTATGACCAAATGCTTCAGCCCCATCAGCTACCCAGAACACAAATACAAGTTCATTTATGAAAGATTAAATTTAAGTTTGCTTAGCATCCTCATGTTCATTTCTTTCAGCTTCTAAACTTCCACGGTTCCCATTTTCATTCGATGTCAGTGATTTTCAACAGTTTATTTTATCTTAAAAGTATTAAATTGGATGTGGCTCTGGATCTTAAAGTCTTATCTTAAACGTGATAATGCTGCTGTCCCACTTCCTTGCTCCTCTCTTCACTTCCCATTCTCATATGGTTCAAACTCTGATCTCCCTCTCAGCAGTCAAACACGAATGCGTGTAAGAGATCAAAAGTCCTCCACTGGAAGTCCTCCACTAAAAGCTGGGCACAGGTTGCCCAAGGAGGCTGTGGATGCCCCATTCCTGCAGGCATTCAAGGCCAGGCTGGATGTGGCTCTGGGCAGCCTGGGCTGCTGGTTGGTGACCTGCACACAGCAGGGGGTTGGAACTGGATGAGCACTGTGGGCCTTTGCAACCCAGGCTGTTCTATGATTCATACTATGATTCTTTACTTCACCATACATCTTACCAGGAAAAAAAGAAGAGCTCTAGAAGTTATTTCAGGGGCACGTATTTAACAGGTTTAAGGCCCCTTCCAACCCAAACCATTCAATGGAAACTCAAGGAGAGAAAAAGAACAGCCACTCACGCTAACAGACCCCCAACACCTTCTTTAAAGCATATTTTACACACTTCTGATCATTCTTCTAGTTCAACCACAATATCAAACTCAGTTCCCAACCCTGAATGGAATTCATTAACGCATAAATAATGGTGCATGGAAATATTAAGAACACTTTGAGATGTTACCTCAATATCTACATCAATGAACAGAGCATCCATGAAGAACCACACACACCTTCTGGTACTACGGATCCCTAACAAAGCTCAAGTGCTTGCTTAAGATCTTCACAAGCCATAAGGGATAGCAGTTGAGAAAAGCAGAATCAGAGAATCACCAAGGTTGGAAAAGGTGGAAACGACCTACAAGATCATCCTGTCCAACCATCCACCCATCACCAATTGCTCTCACTAAACCATGTCCCTCAACACAACGTCCAAATGCTCCTTGAACACCTCCAGGCTCGGTGACTCCACCACCTTCCTGAGCAGCCCACTCCAGTGCCTGACCACTCTTTCAGAGATCACTCTTTCCCCTGTGTGTGTTTGTTAATTTTACTTGAATACAGTGGATCAGGAGCTACTTCTAAAGAAGACTGAGCACAAAGCACACAGATAAGATATAGTATCTTTCCCTTCAGTTAATGGGCAATCAAGCAGTTTGGAACCAAAAGCAGTGCTAAGACAGGCCCACTGCCCCACTCCATCTACACTCAGGTACATCTCCAGTCTACCTGGATGACTACAACACTTCAGCACAGCAGTGTTTCAGTGCCTGCACTGTAACTACTTGTGCACTGCCTGGAACAGCAACAAATCTGTGCCCTCAGGATCTGTTGAGGCAATGCCAGAGCAGGGAAAGGCAGTGACACAGAGCGACAGAGAAGCTCTGCAGCTGATGTTCTCAAAGTCATAGAAGACAAGTAAGCTGTAAAGGAATGGCACCAGTTGATACATCAGGGACGCACATCTGCATACAGAGTTTCAGAAGAGAGGGAAATGTGAAGCATGCCGAACAGGAAACCCACAAGCTATTAAGGACAGCACTGCGTGCTTCAGCACACAGCTGACAGTACAGTCAGATCAGCTCCCCAGAAGTTAGGGGAAGAATCATAGAATGGCCTGGGTTCAAAAGGACCACAATGATGATCTCGTTTCAACTCCCCTGCTATGTGCAGGGTCACCAACCAGCAGCCCAGGCTGCCCAGAGCCACATCCAGCCTGGCCTTGAATGCCTGCAGGGATGGGGCATCCACAGCCTCCTTGGGCAACCTGTTCCAGTGCCTCACCACCCTCTGGGGGAAAAACTTCCTCCTAAGATCCAACCTAAACCCCCCCGTCTCAGTTTAAAACCATTCCCCCTTATCCTATCACTATTCACCCTCATAAACAGCCATTCCCCCTCCTTTTTATAAGCACCCTTCAAAAAGGGAAGGATGCACAAAAGTTGGGCACATGGACCAAGAACAAAAATGCTTTCCTTTAATAACTTTTTAAGTGTTTAATAATGCCTACTTCATATACTCAAACTATTAAAAACTGAGATACAAGTGGGTATTGATTGCAACTCCATTCATTTTTAAATACATAAGTTGGCCAGCAAAAGCTCCCCAACAGATAGCACATTACAAAGCCCCTTCCTGTATCTTCCAAATTAAGTTTACCTATAAGGTTCATCAGCACATTTTATTACATATGTGCATTGCTTTAGCACAGCTGAGAGGTTCAAACACTTCCATTCCTTTCGGTGAGCCTTGAAAGCCCACATGACTGCAAGAGAGCCACGAAGCTAAGCCTAGCCACAGGTTATCAGTAGGAACCTATTTAAACACTAAACCAAATGTACACTTTACAATCATGATTTCTCTTTGGCACTGAGAGAAAAAAAACATAAAATATAACTCAACATAAGCGTTACAAATTCAAGTCCTCATCACCAAATAATCCTGAAAGCACAAAGTTAAAAGCAGCAGTGATAATGCTAAGAGAAGCAAGCTGTGCTCAGGGGGCAACTCTGAGAACTCTGCCGACTGGAAAACTCTCCTTCCTAACACCACAAAGTGTTGTGCAACTGCAATGGCAGCACCAACCCTACAGACTGCCCACAGCTGTGCTAAGGGAGTTCCCTTCCCTTTTAAAAGAAGTTTTAAAGGGAAATGATACGCAAAGAGCCTTCTTTGAGAAATAAAAAGCTTGTAAGAAGAGCAGCTAGCAGATGAGTGGAAGCACGAAGCTCCTCCCTGAAGGATCCTCGTTATGAGGAATTGGAAGCTGCCAATCTTAATGCCACCCTGTGGTACTGAGTGCACAGTATATATAGGCTGACTGAAAAAGCCTGTGTTTTACCAGTGACGCCACAAAAGCCCTTCTTTTTGCATCACAGCTTCTACCTAAGTTTTCCATACCGTTCACCATTGTTATTCATGTTAGTACTGATAAATAACGTGATGAATGAGAAAGCTCACAGACGGCAGGAGTTTGCCTTTCCAAACTGCCTGCAAGAGGAGCAGCAGCCTGCTGCAAGCAAGCAGGAGCTGGGGGCAATCCTGAGTGTCTACTGCTACCACAGCATCTGCATTCCCAACAACACAGGACTGTAATGAGCAAGTCAAGCTGGGGGCTCATAGGGCTCTCATAGATCTGCAAAATGAAGACAAGAACCCTCTGCAAGAAAAGCAGCAGAATCCCAAGGAAGATTCAAGCAACAGGATGGTACAGTCAAGGCAAAAGCAGCCTGGGACAGCTACCTCTGGGAGCTGCAGAGAAAAGCACAGCAGGACTGCAAGGCTCAGAAGAACGATGCTGGAATCATAAGGTGAACTGGGCAATCTGGCAAATACCTTTGGAGAAAGTGCAGCACAGACCACAGCCAGCCTCGCTAACAGTACTTGCTCTGATGAGAGATTACTGCTATTACTGCCCTGCAGCGGTTAATGCTTTCCATCTTCACTAGCTGCTGGTCAGTAACACCCTTTTACCCAAACTCTGCACTAATCTAAAATATCCTTTGGAAACACAGAAAGCAATGGCCTCAAACAGATGCTTCTGGGTTACCTTCATTCCTTTGAGTGCACTTTATAGAATCATAGAATCGCTCAGGTTGGAAAAGACCTTAAAGATCATTGAGTCCAATCACAACCCAGCCGTACTGCCCAACTCCAACAACCATCTGCTCAATCACGTCCCTGAGCACCACAAACAAACGGATTTTAAACACATCCAGGGATGGTGACTCAACCACCTCCCTGGGCAGCCTATTACAGTGCTTAACAGCCCTTTCTGTAAAGAAGTGTTTCCTGATATCCAACCTAAATTGACCCTGGCACAACTTGAGGCCATTTCCCCTCATCCTGTCACCAGTGAGAAGAGACCAGCCCCGCTCTGCTGTAAGCACCTTGCAGATATTGGAAGAGAGCAATCAGGTGATTGCTCTAGCCCCAGTTCCTTCAGTCTCTCCTCGTAGGCCATATTCTCCAAGTTCTTCACAAGCCTTGCTGCCCTTTGAATCTGCTCCAGCACTTTAATGTCGAGGTGCCCAAATATTACTTCGTAATATCACATTGCAGTAGAGCACCACACACACTAACCAAGGAAAAGCAAACCAAGGAAAGACAGGAGGAAAAAAAAACAACCCGAGTAATTCTTCAAGCCAACATTTCTCAAATTTCCCAATGTGGAAATGAGAATGTGAACTTTTTTTGCCTGGACGGCCACAGCAGCCTAAAGCAGAGCAAGGAAACTGACCCACTGCACACTCAGTTTCAGGAACACGAATAAGAAACCTGAAAGTACAAAGCGTTTTTAAAGGGCAGCACTGCACAGCTGTTAACCAAACTCACAGCAGTGGCTTGGCTGCTGTCAGTGTTCTCAAGCAGCACACAAACCATTGGCAAAGTGACTCCCAGCCCATCTGGGGCTCACCAATCAATGAAGAAAGGGAGCACTGCACAGCAGCGTGGCTCTCCACATCCATTGGGTTGTACAGAGAGACAGTGACATCCCTGCAGACAGCCAAGGTCAGATTGGGTGGGCTCTGAGCGCTGATGGAGCTGTGCGTGTCCCTGCTCAGCGGGACCTTTAAGGGTCCCTTCCAACCCTAAGGGCGCTGTGCTGTGGATGAGCTCACAGACACAGCCGTGCACACCCAGCCCAGCATTACCTGGCTGGCACACGGAGCCTCGCAGGGCAGCGCCCACCTCAGCAAATTCTGCCAACATCGAAGGGACAACCTGAAAAACAGACAAACAACCACGCGAGGAAAAAAACAAAACACCATCAAGCTGCGTGAAAAACCACACGGCTCTTTTGCTCGGGCTCAAACTCAACTTCTCGTCGCACGCAAAGAGGAAGGGCTCCAAGGTGGTGCACGAAGGGCCGCCGGTACGGTGCCAAAAGGCCGGGCGCTGCCACCCGAACCCGGCACGGAGCGCGGGACGAGCCGCGTCTATCAGCAGCCAAGCACCGCGCCGCCCGCCCCGCTTCTCGGCTCCGAGAGCGCCGTGAGCTCCTCCCGCTCCAATTACGCCCCGCTAATTGCGCAGCCCCAACCCGACGGAGAACCCGGATCTTCCCGCGACTGCCCGCGGCCCCGCTGTGCCCGCGCACCTCTCTCCCGGGATGGCCGCCCCGCTCCGCCCGGCCCGCGGCCGCCGCTCCGCCTCAGCGTCCCCGCTCCAACGGTCCCCGGCCGCCTCGCGGCGCGCAGCCAATCGCCGGGCGCCTCCGCGGGGGCGCGCGTCCTCCGGCCAATCCCACCCCGCCCTCCGCCGCCGTGAGCCAATGGATGATCGAGCCCTCCGGCCTCCCCCCGCCTCCTCGCCGTCACAGCCAATCGTCGAGAGGACGCTTCTCCGGCGGCGGACGTGCGTGCGTTCGCACCGCCCCTCGGCCAATCAGACGAGCTCTCCGTCCTCGGGAGCGCTCGTGCTCTCCAGCCAATCGACAGCCGGCGAGGCTTCGCGCGCTCCCGTTGTGCGGCGCAGGCGCAGTGAGCTGTGAGCGCTGCTCCTCAGGGCGCTGAGGGGACTTGAAGATGAGCTTTCAACGTGCTGAGCTCAGCGCGGGGCTGGAAGGGACCTCAAGGATCATGAAGCTCCAGCCCCTGCTGCAGGCAGGGCCACCAACCTCCACATGCAATACCAAACTGCCCCATCCAACCTGGCCTTGAACACCTCCAGGGATGGACGGGGCATCCACAGCCTCTCTGGGCAGCTGTTGCAGCACCTCACCACTCTCTGTAAAGAACTTCCCCTGACATCCACCCTAACCCACAGAGACCCCAGGAGAGGGAGCAGCCCACCAGCCATGAGGTCTCACCAGCACCGAGGCAGCAAACTCCAAGCAGAGCCATTCCAAGGGAAAATCTTTCTTCAAAGCGGAATGATGCAAAATACGGCACAGATGGGAGCTGCTGGCTGTCAGAAAGGTGAGGTACAAAATCACAGCACCACGAGAGCCTCAGTGGAGAAGATTAACTGCCCCACTGAAAACTAGGATGGGGCAATGTGTGCTTTAAAATTCATTTACAGTTTTCAGGTCTGAAAATTGTCTTTCTGTTCAACTTGAGGTGGAGTTAACAGTGAATCCATTTGGAAAAAAACTATGCTTCACCACTACAACAAATGCACTTCTGCATTTACGCGTTCATGCACTTGAACTCCCACAACCCCAGTGCCCAGTGTTCAGAGGTCTGAAGGCTCTAAGTCTAAATTCATTTGGCTGTAACAAGATCAGCCCAAAAGAAGCACAAGCAAAAGGTAAGGTTGAAAATACATACGTACATGTAGATAGATGTACCTCCAGCTGTGTGTCCCGAGCTGCTCCTCCATCTCACACGTATCCCCACTTAACAGCCAACACAGCAACTGAGATAAAGCAGAAGCTGAGATCAGGAGAGAGGAACAGCCTCCTTTTTGTTCCTTTCTGGTGTGACAAGATAATTACCTTGCTTGAGCCATGGGTGTGCTTCTCCTCTATATTTAGACATTGATTCTGCAGCATTTCTTTCGCTCACAAGTTTTGGGGTTTTTTTTGGTTGTTTTTTTTTTTTTTTTTTTTTTTTTTCAAATTGGCAGAGAACAAAACAAACCAGATGATGATTATTAAACTGAAAGCGTTCAGTTAAAACAGAGATGAAATGTCCAAATGTAACAGGATGGACTCTGTACAGCTCCCTCCCAGGGCACTTAGCACAGCGGATTCATTACTCTGAAGAGCTGCATGGAGAGCTGATGGAAAACCAGTGTAGGAAGGCACGGATTGCTTAGGAAACGGGCACTCGTTGGTGATAACCAGATAGGAGCAATAGCATTTCTAGGGACAGCCTTTCACAGAATTACACAGAATGGCCCAGGTTGGAAGGGACCTCAAGGATCATGAAGCTCCAACCCCCTGCCACAAGCAGGGCCACCAACCTCCACATTTCATACCAGATCAGGCTGCCCAGGGCCCCATCCAACCTGGCCTTGAACACCACCAGGGATGGATGGGGCATCCACAGCCTCTCTGGGCAGCAACCCTCGATACATAGATTTTGGGCTGCACTACTTCCTAACTGTGGGTTGCGTCCATCCCCTCCCTTCCTGAGTGGGGCTAACAAAGGCTTATAGATTTATTTATTCTTTTAATAAAAAAATGCAACAACTAATTAATTACATGAAGTAAAGCAGAGAAGACAAAGCTCGAGAAGTAACCTGGTGTAGTGGGAGGTGTCCCTGCCTGTAGCAGGGGGTTGGAACTGGATGATGCCCAAGGAGGCTGTGGATGCCCCATCCCTGCAGGCATTCAAGGCCAGGCTGGATGTGGCTCTGGGCAGCCTGGTCTGCTGGTTGGTGACCCTGCACACAGCAGGGGGTTGGAACTGGATGAGCATTGTGCTCCTTTTCAACCCAGGCCATTCTATCATTCTATGATCTTAAAGGTCCCTTCCAACCCTGTGGGACTGAGATGGTACAGTAATAATGAGATACAACCATTAAAGATTAGAACAAAACAGATGAAAAAGTGGTGCTGATGATGTGACATCACCACTAACACAAACAAGTCAATGAAAAGAGTAATTTAAATTGCTCATTAAAAATGCTTGGACTCTAGAAGTCTATTCTTTAGGATAGCAGGTCCATCCAATGCTCCCTAGAGCACTAAGCCCAATGCTTTGGTGGAGATGCACCACGATACCCTTTGTAGCTTCTGTTCTTTAACTTGCACTTTTTGGCTTCTTTGTTACCTGTCAGGGATTTATTTGTCCTTTCCTGGTCACCTCGAAGTCCTTTAGCACATCTGTTCCAGTTTGAAGCAGTCATTTGTGAACGCAGGGGAGCAGAGGCACACAGTAAGTGCTTCATTGCCTTGGACAATGCACTGGTTTTCTCTCTGCTGGCAATACACAAACTGGACTTTTTGTTTTTCCTTCCCCATAGCTAAATCACACTGACAGCTTATAATTACAAGATGTTATTAATTAGTATGTCAAGGTCCTGCTCATCCCATCAGCTCCGGTTACTGTGCACCCACTCCTGGAGCAGCAGGCTGTGTTGTTGCCCCCAGACACCTTCGTGTGCAGTTGGGCTTCACTTTGAGTTGCAGATTACCAATTTTGTCTGTGTGCACATTGCTGAGGTTTCCTAAATCTGTGTTATCAGTCCATTTTCTTGGGACATTCCTGACTTTTGGTGCTGATATCACTGATAAAAATCTTCAAGATTCATGGCTGGACTGAGACACTTCAGTAGAATCCTCCACCCAAAGTGATTTCCTGCTTCTGGCCTATCCATATTAAGGCCCTTTAAACCAGTTATTTATTTTATATTCATCTTCTCAAGCTTTGCTACCAGTTTTCCACATAATTTCCTGCACCATTTGTGTAACTAAAGAGACACCTGACTTTTTCTGAGCAGAAAACCACTTACGCTGGATTAGTCTGCACAAACCTTAGGCAAGACTGTGTTGCTTCCTCTCCTGGTAGATTTTACTTCAAAACTTCCAGAGCCTTCCATAGAGAATTAAAGAGTTGGAATGGACCTCTGAAGGCCATCTAGTCCAACTCCCTTGCAATGAACAGGGACATCACAGCTAGGTCAGGTTGCCCAATGCCTGATCCAGCCTGGCCTTTAAAGTCTCCAGGGATGGGGCGTCAACCACAGTATTAAGTATTCTGTTCCAGAGCCTCTCCATCCTCACGTAAAAGGCTTTATCCTTATATCTAGCCTTGTAATATTTCAGTGAGAAGCAGTCCCAGGCTTCCTATGCATTCACAGGCACCTCAGTCCCATTGACTGCATTGAGTTGTTGAGTGATTCCAGTTTGAAGAACCGTAGTTCACTGCTGTTCGTGGGGGTCCCTTGAAACAACAAAAGGTAATCACTGAAAAATCAACATTAGCAGCACTAATGGCCATAAAACCATACGCCTTTTATTTAACATAAAATGAAACATGAAGATAAAATACACATTTGCCCATGTGCTGAAGAACTACGGAATTTTACATTCATTTATAAAGCAGGTAGTTTTACATGACAAAAAGAAGCGAGAGGGAAAGGAACGGAATCTGCAGTCAGACAGAAGCCACGGGGCAGGCTTTTGCTTGTCCAAGTGCTACCTCCTGTGGGCACAGATCAAGTGACAGGTTAGAAACTGGCCGTTCTTAGCACTCCTCTGATCCCTCTTGATGCTGCTGAGAAGCTAAGGTGGAAGCTTACACAGCAAAATGAGGGACAACGTGTTGAGGGAACACCATTGGCCAAGAGGCACAGCTGCAGCACGACAGACCCATCTGTCCCTGCCATCTTGCTCCTTTGCAGGAATGGGCCCACACGGTTTTAAATGCCTACAGCTTACATTACTTAATCCCCCCCCTTTTTTTTCCCTCTCAATTGCCGGATTTGTAACTGAAATTTGACTTTTCAAGCAGACAGGAGCAGGGTGAGGACTCGTGGCTGCACACATTTAGGGCAAAGGAAGGGAGCTGCCACCCATCAGCGAGGGGGACTGCTGGCAGGCACGTCCCTTGCACACCTCCAGGCACACAGTAAAGGATTGTACCCAGAACCTCTGTCCCTGCTACTCGAGACGATGGGACAACACCTTCCACATCACAGCCACAGGTGGGCTAAGAGCACAGCCCTGCCCTGAGCAATGCACAGTGCAGCCTCTGCTAACCAAACGGGACAGGAGACCGGCTGGGTAGGGTTGAAATCAGGGTAGGGAGGAATGGGAGATGCAGCAGTACCAGGGGAAGAAGGAATGTTGTTTGTTTGTCAAAGTGCAGCAGATCGAAACATACACCACTAGTATTTATTTTGTCTACCCCATATATCTTACATATGAAAACAAATGTAAAGCAGCCCTAATTCCATCTCACATCCCAAGGTGTAATGGCAGCACAAGGCTGAGGTGGAGCTGGTCTTCTACGTACATGTGGCCAATGCAGCCGTGCACACCTGTACAGATACGTACCTGTACAAATACACATCTGCACAGCCCCTACATGCACACCCACCAGTGGGGTACAGCTGTTGAGAGTGAAAACCCCACCAATGTGCAGACAGCAAATTTTGACAAAATCCTGGGTTCCATCCTCTGGTTTCCAAGAGATTCCAATGACAGCTGATGTGGTATAAAAATACCAGTTGCCCACCTTTTCAGTTCTCAGATTTGTA